CTTTACTTTTTCAAAGTAAAAGAATTTTTCTAAAATAAAAGTAGCGTAAGTCACTCCTTGTTTCAGAGATTAGCTGCAACGAACAGACAGACAAAAATTGTAAAAAAAAAATTTCAGTGTATGTACCGTATTTATATTCATATGCATGTAGTAAAAAACGGTTATTTAAATATTACAAACAGACACTCCAATTTTATTTAGATTAGTATAGCATAAAAGCTACAAATCAGGTTGTGAACACTGATTAAATTTGTTGTTCTTTGCGATAGCATACACTGGTGGTCACTCTATTCTCCCAAATTTGAATTTTAATAACTGTATTTATCATAAACATGTTCCACTATTATTTGAAAAAAATACGAGCTGAGTTTCTTGTCAGTTCTTCTCATCTCGATATCATTCCGAACTGACGGTAGATTTGACATATCATAAGAGTCTGTAATAGACCTACATGAATAAAGATATTTTGAATTTGAATTTGAATTTGATTTGATTTTGAATTTGAATTTGAATTTGAATTTGATTTTGAATTTGAATTTTTATTTGATTTTGAATTTGAATTTGAATTTGAATTTGAATTTGAATTTGAATTTGAATTTGAATTTGAATTTGAATTTGAATTTGAATTTGAATTTGAATTGAATTTGAATTTGAATTTGAATTTGAATTTGTATTTGAATTTGAATTTGAATTTGAATTTGAATTTGAATTTGAATTTGAATTTGAATTTGAATTTGAATTTGAATTTGAATTTGAATTTGAATATGAATTTGAATTTGAATTTGAATTTGAATTTGAATTTGAAATATCATGTATGTGAAACCGCGGTCACAGCTACTGTACTATAGGCGTACTGTAACAGTATTGTCGATATTTCATACCATTTCTGCTGTCCCCGGCGGCTGCCCTCACGTGGTCGGAAGTGAGTTATTAGGGTGATATCGCAGTGAGTTTACGCACGCTTACGTACTGTCACTAGAATTTTCAATGTTATTGGGAACTGCCCTTGATACGGAAATTATTTGAATACACAACTATACATTATTATAATTACAACGGATTAGTGTGGCCAATTTACTGTCAAATGTATATCTATATATATAATATTGAAGTGACTGTTTGTAATATTGAAATAACCGTTTTTTACTACATGCATATGAATATAAATACGGTACATACACCAAAATAACATTTTTTACATTTTTTGTCTGTCTGTCTGTCTGTTTGTTCCGGCTAATCTCTGAAATGGCTGGACCGATTTTGACGGGACTTTTTTTGGCGGGTTGTTGATGTAATATGGTGTAACCCGCCTGCACTAACGGTTTACGCTGGCGGGGCACCAGTGAATGATGATAAGATGAACGTGAGATCAGGTCAGTTAGCCTAACATGGCAAATTCAGCAGGAATTTATCACGGTTTTCAGGGGGAACCGCGTGGAGGTCGACCTAGCAATGTACATTGCTAGCAATGAGATCATCAGTCCACATTGCTAACATCCCTCTTTCCCCCTAGTGGGAAACGGTAAAGCTTGCTTAGTATGACGTAAATAAAAAATACCTAAATAAAACACTTACGCCAATACAGTCACACACAGAATTGCCTATAGGAATCGAATCTGCAACCATCGGAAGGTATAGTTTTTTAAGAGGATGATAATGGAATCGTGCACCTGCGCTAACGGTTTACGCTGGCGGGGCACCAGTGGAGGGTGATAAGGTGAACATGAGGTCAGGTCAGTTAGCCCAATGTGACAAATTCACCGGGAATGTATCACGATGGTTTCCAGGGGCAACCGCGTGGAGGTCGATCTGACATGGTACATTGCTAGCAATGGGATCATCAGTCCACATTACTAACACTCCGCCTTCCCACCGGAAGAAGGTGTGGTTAAACAATATTTTATTATTGATTTTTCTTACATTGCAACACCTGGTCCCAAACTTAGCTTTTTTTCACACAGCGCCATATAGATCCATTGTTAAGCTAGCTAAACCTTGTGTTATGAGTAACTGATGTAACTTTCCGAATGAGCGGTAGAAAAAAAAAAGGTGATGACTATTCAAAAGTGCTTCAATGTAAGTTTATTTGAATAAATGATTTTCTATTCTATTCTATTTTTGATACATAGACATTTTTTTCGTAAATACATACATATATATCGTATAGTAGATTCTATAAATTCGAGAGATTCGTCGTTTAATTTTATCTTGCAATTAGTATTGAAACGTTAGAGAGTGAACAATTATAACATTTTTTTTTAAGTCAGATCAAAATTTATCAACTTAATTTCATCAATATTTTATTTTGCTACTAGCTGTTCCCGCGACTTAGTCCGGAATTTAACTTTATTTTTATAAAATAAAAATAGCCTAAGTTACTCCTTATTACATCAGCTATCTGCCAAAAAAAGTCCCGTCAAATTCAGAAGCCGGAACAATCAGACCGACAGACAGACAGACAAAAAATGTAAAAAATGTAATTTTGGTGTATGTACCGTATTTATATTCATATGCATGTAGTAAAAAACTGTTATTTCAATATTACAAACAGACACTCCAATGTTATTATTTGTATAGACTGGAATTACTAATGAAAATCACTTCCCGTCAGAACCCTTAGTAACAATAAAACGCAGACGTTTTTTCTTCGCGTTCCACATCAGACTACTAGTCGCCGACGTGACTTTTATTAATATAATAAAAGATCGTTTGTCCGTTTCTCCGTCCGTCCCGGAAACGGAAGTGCATTGTAAACAATCCTAGTGGTCTTGTCTATGGTGCAAAGGTTGTAAAGTCCGAGATGTCCTTTTAAATAGGTTTTATGTTTTTATAATTTATATAGCCTCCCCGTAGTGGCTTTTGTATGGAACCCATCCACTGAGGATAATACGTTTCAACTCTCATTTAATTTCTAAACAGTGTCCACTGTTTTTTTCTTAACGTTTAAACAAATGAATAACTTAGAACAATTCACAGCTCTAGTCAAGATTTCTCACAGTCTAGAGTTGCCAACATTTATTGCCAAAAAAAAAATATATAAACTGGTTTAGAGGAAAAAAAAATAAGTATTAGTCTGTTAGATTATGTTATCTGTGGTATTATAAAAAAGTATTTTTCAATTTCTATGTTTCTATTGCTATACAAACGTATTTTTTTTGGAAATTTCTAACTGTAGTAAAGTTAAGCGTTAAAAACATAAAGTAAAAACAACTAGATAATCAAAGATAGTCAAAGAGTTTGTCATAGACCCCTGAGGGTCAATATAGACCATTTTAGGAATTACTGCATTAGATAGTAGAATTATAGAAACCTCTACTAATGTTGTAAGTGCGAAAGTAACTCTGTCTGTATATACGCGTCCTTTTTTTCTACTACTCTAATGCTGTTGGCCGCAGCTGGCCTTTACAGCTTCACCGGACGTTAGGGGGCGAGTGCAGATGGCACTCCAAACCCGCGGAAGGACTTATGGAGCGGCTGAAGGCCAACTCCTGCCTGACGGATACGACTTTAGTCTGAGGGCACCACTAGGGGTTCGAACCTCGACTCAGGCCGTCGTAATATCGATCCCCGTTTGAATTGGACGGGGGATCGATTGGAGGGGGCTTGCACACCTAAACTGCTGAACCGATTTAAATGAATTTAGTAAAGATAGTGGTCTAGGACCTGATAAAGTACATAGGCTACTCTTTATTGCGGAAAAAGAATTGTACCTAAATGGTTGAAAGAGGGTATAAAAAGATATAGCTTAAATAATAAAAATATTACCCAAATTCATCATTACAGAGTTAAATCTTAATGAATTAAAACTATTTTGGACAATTTATTCAAAATCGTCTTTAAAATTCTAAAATTTTCAAGATGTCGTAATATTTAACCATGTAGTTATTACATATAATGTACTAGATGTGCCCGCGACTTCGTCTGCGTAAATTGTCGATACTTCCATATAACCTTTCATCTCCTCTTTCAACCCCTTACAAACCCTTTTTCGGATTAAAAAGTACCCTATGTCCTTTCTCAGGTTCTAGACTATATGTGTACCAAATTTCATTTAAATCAGTTCGGTAGTTTTGGCGTGAAAGCGAGACAGACATTCAGAGTTACTTTCGCATTTATAATATTAGCACAGATAACATAATATTACATATTAGTAAGAATAAAATAAAAAGATCAAAGAGCTGTCATTTATCCCTTTAGCTTTTCTACAAGTATTTCTACGGGATAATTAATGTCCAATTTGAAGTAGGGCTCTTAAAATACGACTCGACTGTTGGTATCTGCCAATTTATTTTAAAAATATATTTTGCGCGGGAAACCGAAACGGAAACGCGCCCATAATTATCGTTCTAAACGTAATTTGGATTGAACGTTCCCAAAATTTGTGTTTTAAAACTGAACTCTAATGCAACGCACGACAGTTTATATTTGGAATCCACATGAACACACCAAAGACGTTTAAAATGAAATAGATAATACGGAAACGATTAGTTTTACAGCCACATGCTGACAGGCAGGATGCGAGAAATTCATTATCGATTCAAAAACATATTCTATCTCTTTCCCTTGCGCATTGCAATCTGGATAGGTGAGAGGAGAATAGCAAATACCCGCATCCGAACACCAACGCCGCGTGCTTGCGAATTGATTACCAGATTACAACGTTACAAACGTCACCATTACACTTAGATTTTTAAACTTTCCAGCTCATGTAATAAGGTTTATTTTTCGTTGTACTATTTTTTGAAATATAATGATTTATTGTAAACGACTCTCTGCATTCATTCATTCGTTTATAATTCAAGATGCATGAATTAGGTGGTCATTCATTCATTCGTTTGCAAACCGTTGTAGGGCAAGGTTGTGTGCGTGGCTCGTAAATATATTACGCGTAACTTTACAATAATCGCCATTTGGATTTATGAGATATATTGTGGATATCTGTGATTATTAAATTGAAGTGAAAATTGTGTATATAATATATAATACAACAGGAAACAACAGGGATTCCTCCATTGCCAAAATAATGGTAAGTGTTTCGTTGTAATACTTCTATATTACTATAGGATTTATGTTATAATAATGGGTATTAATTAATAATTATTACTCATCTAGACTATGAAATAATATATTTACATATTATATTTTATGTAAAACTAGCTGTTTCCGCGACTTCGTCCGCGTGGAATTTAACTTTACATGTCTAAAATAAAAGTAGCCTAAGTTACTCCTTATTACATCAGCTACTAAAATCGGTCCAGCCATTTCAGAGATTAGCCGGAACAAACAGACAGACACAAATTGTAAAAAATGTTATTTTGGTGTATGTACCGTATTTATATTCATATGCATGTAGTAAAAAACGTTTATTTAAATATTACAAACAGACACTCCAATTTTATTTATATGTATAGATATAATATTTTTACTCTAATAAATTAGTGCTTGTTGGTAGTTTGTATTCACACGTTTCGACTTGTAAAATGTGAACTTACAAGGATTGTTTAAAAGAGCAACACACAAGTTTCTTGCTCTTTCTTTTTGTGATGAGACAGCTTTCCAATTATGACTATTCAAAATTGCTTAAATTAAGTTTATTTGAATAAATTATTTTCTATTCTATTCTATTATTAACCATTAAAACATTATTTTGATTTACCTACAACAGAAAAGGCAAAGACAAGAAAAATGTCATTGTCTATATATATAATACAAACAAACAAACAAACTTTTCCTCTTTATAACATTAGTATTACTAGCTGCTCCAGCAAACGTTGTTTTGACATATAATTTAAAATCGCTATTAAAACATAGGGGTTGGTGATAGACAACCCTTGTCACTTAGGGTATGAAAAATAGATAGTAACCGATTCTCAGACCTACTGAATATGCATGTTAAATTTCATAAAAATCGGTCTATCCATTTCGGAGGAGTATGGTAACTAAACATTGTGACACGAGAATTTTATATATAAGATTAAAAGTCAGTTCTTTAGTTGGTTTTATATCAAAAGAAAGAAAATAGTATAACCAGATAAAAAATCATAGTAATTTCATGTCAGGATCTGAACTAATTTAAAAGTTTAATCATCACTAGCTACTCACCCCGACTTCGCACGGGTGTACATGTAATATACATATAAACCTTCCTCTTGAATCACTCTATCTATTAAAAAACCGCTTCATAATGCGTTGTGTATTTTTAAAGATTTATGCATACATAGGGACGGACAGACAGCGACAGCGACTTTGTTTTATACTATGTAATGATGACGGGTAAAAGACAAAAAAATAGAACTGCCATTTGTGTTCAACAGCCACGAATAAAATATTGTAAAAGGTATTTTACAATACGATGATACGTATAAATGATGCCCATTTCTACATCCGACATTTAAGCTTCTAAAAAAACTTCCCATACTACTTAATCAGTATGTAACACGTTTCCTTTGCCTTAAAAAACAATTACGCGCCATAATGACGAGTTCCCGCCATTGTGTTGCCGGATGGAGAGAGCGCGGGAGAGTTGGCGGGAAACGCAACAATGGCCGACAATTATCTTAAATTGCGGATTTTAGATTAGCGTCTCACAGCTTTCTTGGAAATATGTCAGTATTAAACACGTTACAGTCATAGCGGATGGCTCGATTTTCATTTTCTACTAGGTTACCTATTGTCTTCGTAAGTAATGTAGAATGAACGAATGAATGAATGAATGAATGTATGAATGAATGAATGAAACAAGTTAAATACGAGCTCAATTTCTTGTCAGTTCTCATCTCATTCTGAACTGATGGTATATTTAAAAATGTGCTCAAAAAAAAAAACAGTTTGTTCTACCAAACGGTTCATGCCTTGCTTCTATTTATTGTTTGTGGTCGGCGCAGTATGTCATTCTCTTCCACTGATCTCTATCGGTCGTCATATCTGAGCATACTCTTCTTTTATTCATATCATCTTTCACACAATCCATCCATCTTTTCTTAGGGCGTCCCCTCCCTTTACATCCATCCACATTCATATTATATACTTTCCATCAGGGATGTTGGGGAGCTGCGTATCCGTAACCGAAACTATCGGATATCCGATATAAAAAAATATCCGTAACCGTAACCGAATCCGAAATAAAAGTTTCGGATAATATCGGATATGTTATGTAACCATTTTATTAGCTATTTTTATTTGACTTTTGAAATTCTTTAAAAATTAATATCCGTAATCGAAATTATCCCAAAGTAACGGATAATCCGAAATAATTCCATATCCGCATCCGTATCCGTATAATAATCATTACTATATCCGAAACCTATCCGTATCCGACATGTCATATCCATAACATCCCTACTTTCCATAAGACACGATCCTCGATCCGCTTAACATGCCCATTGTTCTACCAAACTGTTATCTATACATATAAATAAAATTGGAGTGTCTGTTTGTAATATTGAAATAACAGTTTTTTACTACATACATATGAATATAAATATGGTACATACACCAAAATGTAATTTTTTACAATTTTTGTCTGTCTGTCTGTCTGTCTGTTTGTCCCGGCTAATCTCAGAAATGGCTGGACCGATTTTGACGGGACTCATTTTGACAGGTAGCTGATGTAATAAGGAGTAACTTAGGCTACTTTTATTATAGAAAAATAAAGTTAAATTCCACGCGGACGAAGTCGCGTGTACAGCTAGTTTAATACAATATTGCGTCTGTCCGTATATCAGTCCATAACTCGTTTATAATAGCAAATTGATAACCATAATATAGTTGTGTGTAAAACATAAACAATGGTGCATAAAGGATGTGTTGGGCAGAACAGACGTTATATCTTTGCCAGAGCTATAATAAAAACCCGACGTTCCTTTTTTGAGACGAGCGGAAGTGTCGATTTCGATTATGGTACGTCCGTCCGTTTGGCGGGAAGACGCGTTTCCGTTCAAGTTGGCGGGATTTTTTTTATAATTTCGCCGTTTGCCCTCTACCCTAAATTGAAAGGGCTAAAATTGAAGTTGCTTCATTGTAAATCTATAAACACATAAGTCTATAAATGGGTAAATACATAAAATACATTATATATAAATAAATAAAAATAACATAGCGGCTGTTCAAGTATTACGTAAGCAGATTTATCACAATTATTTACCCCCCATCCCCCGTTGTCAGCAAAAGTAAGCAAAGCTCTTACCCCTCCCCCCATGCTTACGTAAACATTTCTCAATTAATGTATTGTTTTTTTAACAAAGACAATGTGAGGGTTGCCATTCGTGTAAAAAAGTAAATTACGACCGATGACGTAATCATCATACAGACTCCCCCACCCCCATGTCATCCAAAATAAGCAAAGAAAAGAGCCCCCGTCCCCCTATAGTGCTTACGTAATACTTGAACGGCCCCATATATATGTATATATAAATATAAACTTTCATATATAAATAATGTAAATATGTATGTGTGTCACCTATATATCTATACATATAAATAAAATTGGAGTGTCTGTTTGTAATATTGAAATAACCGTTTTTTACTAAATGCATATGAATATATATACGGAACATACACCAAAATAACATATTTTACAATTTTTGACGGTGTGTTTGTTCCGGCTAATCTTTGAAATGGCTGGACCGATTTTGACGAGATTTTTATTGGCAGGTAATTCTTGTAATAAGGGGTAACTTAAGTTACTAACTACTAGGGGTAATTTTAGAAAAAAATATTTTAATTTAGAGAAATAAAGTTAATTGCCACGCGGCAGAAATCGCACGTACAGCTAGTTATTGTCTACAATAGATGGTATTTCGATGGGTATATACATGTGCGTGTATGTAATATAATTGTATGGGGATTAGTGACGTTTTATAATTGTGTCAGGATGTCACCATCCTTCCTCGGCAGCCAACAAAAGCAAATAATTACATAATAGCTCACCCGCCACATTTAATCCGCCATTACTCGCCCACATCCCGTTTCCGGCAAAATGGCGCCGAATCGGTTTCCGCGATGCTATTCAATATTTGGTATTTGTTAATTTCTGAATGTAACGGATATCCTATATTGTGGCCGCTGGACTAGTACCGGTATTCAAATGGATTATACTCGTATTATATATGTATATACTAGCTGTACCCGCAACTTCGTCCGCGTGGAATTTAACTTTATTTTTCTAAAATAAAAGTAGCCTAAGTTACTCCTTATTACATCGGCTACCTGCCAATAAAAGTTCCGTCAAAATCGATCCAGTCATTTCAGAGATTAGCCGGTACAAACAGTACTGCGTGTACCGGACAGACAAAAATTGTTAAAAATGTTATTTTGATGTATGTACTGTATTTATATTCATATGCATGTGGTAAAAAACGGTTATTTCAATATTACAAACAGACACTACAATTTTATTTATATGTATAGATATATAGATGACACACATACATATTTACATTATTTATATACGAAATAGTTTATATTTATATATACATATATATGTTATTTTTATTTATTTATATATAATGTATTTTATGTATTTACCCATTTATAGACTTATGTGTTATTTATCATTTTTAAATTATTTACTATTGTTTTAGCAAATGTTTGCCATTCGTGTTGTAGACTTTCGAGTGTGGCAGTGAGAAGACGGCACTGCGAGCCCGCTGCGACCGCGTGCCGCCCTCGGAGCCCGGGGACTGGGCAGCATCCGCCCTGCACCTCGCCGGCCTCGCAGCCCTGCACCACGACGACCTGCCACTAGGTACGTCCAGTACACACTGTTTGTTTTTCTATATATTTTCTATATTTATCTTAACACGAATATTTTTTTATCAAATGAAGTAATTTTTTTTAAGTTTCTCTCTCGACCCGGTGTTAAGATTCGGTTAATAATATAAATAACTAGCTGTTCCAGTGACTTCGTCCGTGTGGAATTTAACACTTTTTTTTTTATTTTTCTAAAATAAAAGTAGCAAAAAGAACTAAAAGTTATTTTGTTTGTCTTCATTTATTCGTTCCATTAGGTACTGATAGGTTCATAATAATACATTTACATCCTGCATCATCCCTTATTTTATCCCCATGGGGGTTGAATTTATCAGAATCCTATTTAAGCGAACGTCTTCATCATAGTAGCTCCAATCTTTAATTTCAGTTCAATCAGTCGAAAATCTAAGAAGATTTATACAAACTTTCATCCGCTATTTTATCCCCTTGGGGGTATAATTAATCAAAATCCTATCTTAGCGGATGACGTCATAACATCTACCTGCATACCAAATTTCTGCCCGATCCGTCCAGTGGGCTGTACGTTGATAGCTCATTATGTCAGTCACCTTTAAGTTATATATATTTAGATGTAGATTAAACACTTTCGCATTTAATTTACATTTAAAAACTGAAGAAAATACATTCAAAATTGTTATAAAAGTAAAAAATATATAAAAATGTGCTGTATTTGTAACATTTTATAACAAATTATAGCCTATCTGTTATTCTGTAAAGGTTCATTAAAATCTGTTCTGTAGTTTTTGCGTGAAAGAGTAACAAACTTTCGCGTTTATAATATTAACTAGCTGATCCGCGCAACTTCGTCTGCGTTTCTTTTCCCCACCTTTTGTATTATTCTAGCTTAATGCCTTCCTCGACAAATGGCCTATCCAACACAAAAAAAAAAATCCAACCAGTAGTTCCTGAGATTAGCGCGTTCAAACAAACAAACTCTTCAGCTTTATAATGTTAGTATGTATAGATAACTATTATGTATAACATAACTGCTAGGGGGCGGGGGGTCTTTTCCACCCCGATGCTTCGTCATCGGGAATGTACATTGTCTTTGTTATACATATAAACCTTCCTCTTGAAGTGATTCAAGAGGAAGGTTTATATGTATAATACATGTATATATATAATACTTTTACTATCTATTAAAAAAACCGATTCAAAATCCGTTGCGTAGTTTTAAAGATTTAAGCATACATACGGACGGACAGACAACGACAGCGACTTTGTTTTATACTATGTTTTGATATTGATAGTAATGTATAACATAAATGTGTGCAGACCCTAGATCCTGGGGCCGCGGTGAGGTGGGGCGGTGGGTGTCACGTCGTGGGGGGCTCCCCGAGCGGTTCCCCATGAACGGGAAGGCGCTCTGCCTCATGACCCAGGAGATGTTCGCCAGCCGCGTGCCGCACACTGGACACCTCCTCTATCAGGTACGTACCTACTAGGGTTCATGATTTCTCGAGCTTTTCAATTTCTCGGGTCTCGAGAATTCTCGAGGTCAATTTCTCGGGTCTTCTCGGGTTGTCGAGAAATTTACATTTACGTACGTTTGGTTTATTTTTTGTTCCAATAACGTCAAAAAACTCAGTGGTTTCATTTGAGACGAAAATCACTGCATTTTTTGTTAAATATTAATTATAAAATTTAACTATAAAATTAATTATGAAACTTTTATTGAATAGCTATATTTAAAACATTATACATATTATGGATAAGCCATTTTTGTTAAATACTGAAATATATTAGGTTCTTACATATGAAATTAGCGTTTTGTCGTACTGGCCACTTTGATCTTAAATATCTCCTCTTTGGTTAGAAATTTCAATTTCAAATTTATACGGCTATTCACTCATGCATTTTTTTTTCGAAAACCGTAATACATGTGCTTGGTTTTTTCTTTGGGTCACTCAGCTTACAAAATGGAAAACTTAAAATATCGCGTCAATACACATGAAAGAAAACCTTAATATCTTGTATTATTGTGCCGCCACGTAATACAACAAACGTCAATTTAATTTCTATATAGGTACTTGATTTCTCGAGTTCTCGACTTTTCTCGAGCTTGATTTCCCGGGAACAGAACCCTAGTACCTACTCATTGACACAAAAAAATAGTTTTAAAACTACGATGGTGGCAAACAAGCATACGGCCCATCTGATGGTAAACAGTTACCGTAGCCTATGGACGCCTGAAACACCAGGGGTGTACGCGTTGCGGACCCTTAAGAAACTTTAATAAAATAAGGATTTCTTGAAAAACCCCATGCTGTAGTACAAGGATGTTATGGATAGGTTACGGATATAGGAATGATTATTATACCGGATACGGATACGGATGCGGATATGAAATTATTTCGGATTATCCGTTAGTTTCGGATAATTTCGGTTACGGATATTAATTTTTTAAGGAATTTCAAAAGTAAAATACAAATAGCTAATAAAATGGTTACATAACGTGTCTCAATTAGGCTCCGCCACTATCCGATATTGTCCGAAACTTTTATTTCGGATTCGGTTACGGTTACGGATATTTTTTTATATCGGATATCCGATAGTTTCGGATACGGTTCCGGAGCTCCTTAAGATCTCTGCTGTAGTTTTACGAGAAAACACTCGGCAGGTAGTTCATTCCAAATCAAAAACGAATTGGCTAAAAAAACTTATTGGCTAAATACCTATATAAAAAAAACGATATGGCTAAAAACCCATTTAGCTAATTAATTTTTATTATATTAAACTAGTACAGTAGCTCCGTTCTGAAGTGACTATTTTGAGTTTTTGCAACATTTTTCAGTATTTTAAGTTGCAATCAGCTCCTATTGGTTGCAGCGTGATGTTACATAAACTAACATTCCTTGACAACTCAGCAATGGAACTCTAAAATAAATTTTTAAATTGATTCAGTAGCTCCAGATATTACCTCCTACAAGCTCACATACAAAACAAACTTTACCTTATAATTTATGGTCTAGATCAGTTATTCCCAAAGTGATCTATGTCTAGCCCCAACACTAAACTTTACTACAGTTAGAAATTTACAAAAATCAATACCAAGAATGTACCCAAAACCTAAAAATATGGCAAGGGGTCTACGACCCAAAAAAGTTTGGGAACCTCTGGTCTAGATTGTGTAATATTATCTTTTCTGTGGTATAAATTTAGAAAACTACTAAGTGTCCCGGCAAACGTTGTTTTGCCTTAAAATAAAATAAAAAAAAATGGGGTGGACTACCCCTAACATTTAGGGGATGAAAAATAGATGTTGGCCGATTCTCAGACCTACTCAATACGCTCACAAAATTTCATGAGAATCGGTCAAGCCGTTTCGGAGGAGTATGGGAACGAAAACTGTGACACGAGAATTTTATATATAAGATTATCACTTTCCATCAAGTGGGTCTGATGCTTTACCGTTCCAGTTAAACAAAAACCCTCCCTTCATTCGACTTATAAACTACTAGCTACTCGCCCCGGATTTGCACGTGTGTACATGTATTATACATATAAACTATCCTCTTGAATCACTCTATCTATTAAAAAAAACCGCTTTAAAATCCGTTGCGTAGTTTTAAAGATTCAAGCATACATAGGGACGGACAGCGACAGCGACTTTGTTTTATACTATGTAATGATGATTATTTTTTCTATTACAGGATTTCAGAAAAAGATTATCAAAGGCGTTGGCGCTTCAAGATTTATTTGAGAAAATATCACCGAAATAAAATTCACTCACTAAAAGGAACGCAGTTCTGCTACTTATGAAATAATAGTGTATTATAATCGGACAAGAATTTACGTAGAGTTTAGAAGGGAATGTAATAGTGCATGTGATTTTACACTTTTTATAGCACCATAGAGGTTATGGTAGTGAACAAATATGGCGACGCTATTTTGGCGGGAAAATGTAGAGATGATAAGGAGCAGGGGTGGATCTACCTACGGGCTTTATGTGCAGGGCCCCGCGGATAAGGGGCCCCTGTCCCCACTGAAAATAATAGGGGATATTTAGATCAAAAAATCTGTAATATTAAAAAAAACCTATCACTAAAGTTGACAACCCTGGATGTGGTGGTCTATCTTTTATGGGGAATCTCCTGTCGCTATGTTTTAGTTAATACTAGCTGCACCCGCGATTTCGATCGCATGGAATTTAACTTGATTTTTCTAAAAGTAGCCTAAGTTACTCATTATTACATCAGTTACCTGACAATTAAAATGTGTCAAAATCGATCCAGCCGTTTCAGAGATTTGTAAAAAATGTTATTTCGGCGTATGTACCGTATTTATATTCATATGCATGTAGAAAAGACGGTTATTTCAATATTACAAACAGACACTCCAATTTTTTTTATGTAAACATAGATAATTAGGTAAGCCCCTAAGTTGTAACCCGGGGCCCCATAAATTCACGATGCGCCCCTGAATAGAAGTGCCAGTAGACCCTGGCAAGACACTAGAAGATGTATGAGAGCGAGTTCAGATTAATGATGATGATGAAAGTACCGTAAAACAGAGTTAGCGAATTTAAAACTCGCATTATATCAATAAACTGAACATTTATGAGAATTTATATTTAATAATGGTTAAATATAACAAGTAATATTGGCAAAAGTTTTGAGCGGACGAGCCAGTACTTTTTTTATGGCTGCGTAAACCGTTTACGCTGGCGGGGCACCAGTGGAGGATGATAAGATGAACATGAGGTCAGGTCAGTTAGCACATCGTGAATTCAACAAGAATTTATCACGATGGTTTCCAGGTGGAACCGCGAGGAGGTAAACCTGATATGGTATATTGTTGGCAATAAGATCATCAGTCCGCATTACTAATAATCCCCTTGGGGGTTAACTTTAGGCGTTATAAAATCTCCCAATAGTTACATCGGAAAATTCTAAAATTTATTCTTGGTCAATCAACTCTACTGTACCCCACACTTACCTATTTCAGTCGGGAAGTCTTGCTTTGTAAGATGCTTCCGTTATGGGTGACGTACCAGTTAAATATATATATTTATATCGCAAGTAATAAACGTGGTACAGTTCACGTGTAACTGGTGTCACTTACCATCAGGTGGGCCGTAAGCTTGATTACTTAGTCACTTAAAAATATTGACTTAGCTCTCGCGTTCTCCGATAGAACCTCTCCAATTCAAACTGGGATCGATATTACGACGGCATGAGCCGAGTTCGAACCCCTAGTGGTGCCCTCAGACTAAAGTCGTATCCGTCAGGCGGGAGTTGGCCTTTAGCCGCTCCATAAGTCCTTTGGTTTGGAGTGCCATCTGCACTCGCCTATCGTCCGGTGAAGCTGTAAAGGCCAGCTGCCGACAGCATTAGAGTAGTCCGAAAAAAAAACACCTACATCACTGTAAGTTCACTGCCATAACTCATCTTACAAAGTGGACACAACTTACTATTTATCTCTGTCTACTGCATACAAGTGCGAGAAAGATACAAAATAATCTCCTCCGATCGATCCCCCGTCCAATTCAAACGGGGATCAAAATTACGACGGCCTAAGCCGAGGTTCGAACCCCTAGCGGTGCCCTCAGACTAAAGTCGTATCCGTCAGGCGGGAGTTGGCCTTTAGCCGCTCCATAAGTCCTTTGGTTTGGAGTGCCATCTGCACTCGCCTATCGTCCGGTGAAGCTGTAAAGGCCAGCTGCGGCCAGCATTAGAGTTTTCCAAAAAAAAGCTCTAAAAGAACACGAAAGTCTTTAGATCTGTTTGTACTTCTTTTGATCTGTGCTAGCTCTCGTCTGCACAAACTAAAGTGACCATGAACTATATGATTTGTTTTTTTATTAAGCATTATTACTTCCCAATTTGAGTTCTTATTTTAATGTTCCTATTATATTTAATTTGAATTTGATCAATCGTAATTTATTACATAAAATAGCAGCAAACAAGACGTGTAAATATCAATTTTTAATTGTATCAACTTTACAAAATATTTGTACATAGATTAAGTATTGTAATTTAATTATCTTTTGCACTTGAAACTCAACACGTGACCTGTACTTTAAAATGTACAGAATGAAGTGGCTTGCTCACATTGTTACTTCATGAAGACTCGATGTTATTCATGTGAAAGTTTGCTCCAAACGGGTCCTGCTTATTTAGTATATGTTTCTTGTGGGAAAATTATGATTCTTGTATCGTTTTTTTCTTAAAATTCAAAGTTTCGAGTGCAAACGAACATATATTCAGTATTATAGATACCAAACTAATGTTAGTTATTTGTTACTACATACATAGTGCCGGTTGGGAGCGTAGTTTTATTATTTTTGTATTTCTAGTCAAGGGTAAATAAATAATTCGCATTCTATATAGTTCTCTTATTATATAAACATATCCTTAAGAATTTGAATCAATCCAGATTGAATGTCCTACTACAGGTAGTAGAATAGAATAGAAAATCCTTTATTCAAATAAAATTTCAGCACTTTTGAATAATCATAACATTTTAATCTACCGCTCATTCGGAAAGCTGTCTCATCACAAGAAGAACGAGCAAGAAACTTGTGTGTTGCTCTTTTAAATAATCCTTGTAAGTTTACATTTACAAGTCGAAACGTGTGAATACAAACTACCAACAAGCACTAATTTTTTGGGTCAAATATAAATATGCAATAAGATTAAATCAGTCGTGGTGATAAGAGCAGACCAGTCCCTACAAGCAGCACTCGTTCACGAGTATGACGGATGAGCCAGCCGTCACTGCGCTCGACCATATTTTAGGGAGCCCAATGACCCGGCCCACCACGCCGCCACATGTCTGGACATTTTAGTGAGCATGACTACTCATTCCACTCGACCACGTCACAGCTACTTAAAATTACTATATGGTAGTTACAGTATTCGCAATTTACATGAGGATGCATGCGACATCAATACAAAAACTGCTAGTATCTTCCATAGATATGTATGTAGGAAATAGAACTTCTCATTCAAATAATAATAATGTTATTTATTTATCAAATAATAAACTATTACTGTAGTATATAGTCTTTGGCATAATAAATAATACAATATTAATACAGTACAATTACAATTGCTGCTTATAACAAAATTTAGTAGTAATAATCGAGACAACGATCTATAACTCAGAGGAGGCAGCGAGTCCACCCTCTCTGCTATTCTGTTATAGACTTTATTAGTAAACTAGCTACTCGCCCTGGCTTCGCACGGGTGTACATGTATTATATATATAAACCTTCCTCTTGAATCACTATCTATTAAGAAAACTGCTTAAAAATCCGTTGCGTAGTTTTTAAGATTTAAGCATACATAGGGACAGACAGCGACAGCGACTTTGTTTTATACTATGTTTTAAAAAGAATGCTCTAAACCTCTAGCGGTGCCCTCAGACTAAAGTCGTATCCGTCAGGCGGGAGTTAGCCTTTAGCCGCTCCATAAGTCCTTTGGTTTGGAGTGCCATCTGCACTCGCCTATCGTCCGGTGAAGCTGTAAAGGCCAGCTGCGGCCAGCATTAGAGTATTCCAAAAAAAAGCCCTAAAAGAACACGAAAGTCTTTAGATCTGTTTGTACTTCTTTTGATCTGTGCTAGCTCTCGTCTGCACAAACTAAAGCGACCATGAACTATATGCAATATATAAGAAAACTGCTTAAAAATGCGTTGCGTAGTTTTAAAGATTTAAGCATACATAGGGACAGACAGCGACAGCGACTTTGTTTTATACTATGTTTTAAAAAGAATGCTGTGTTAGTTGCTTGTTGTTGTTTACGAGCTCAATCCTTACCAATATATTAAATGTGAAAGTAGGTGTGTTTGTTACACTTTCACGCAAAAACTACTGAATCGATCATCATGAAATCTTGTGAACATGTTCTTTTTAGAGGATGATAGTGGAATGCTGCACACACCTGCGCTAACGGTTTACCCCTCCACTGGTGCCCCAGTGGAGGATAAGATGAACATGAAGTCAGATCAGTTAGCCCAACGTGACAAATTCACCGCAAATTTATCACGATGGTTTCCAGGGGGAACCGCGTGGAGGTCCTGATATGGTACATTGCTAGCAATGGGATCATCAGTCCACACTACCAACGATCTTCTTTCCTCCCCTGTAGACATGTTCTTGAATGTATTAGAATGAACATATGATCGTTCACATATCGGATATGTTTTATTAAATTAAATGAAAAAAAGCGAGCGAAGCCGCGGTAAAAGCGAAATTAAACTATTACTTATTATAGTTATTTTATTATAATAGAATATCTTAAGGCTTCTTAACCGCTTCCTTAAAAGCACTGACTCCAGCCATCAAAGCGTTCAGCACCTTCGGTCCCTGCTCAGCCAGGCTCTGGCACAGCTCTTCCAAACTCTTCTTCTGGTCAGCAGCGATCTTGGCGAGCGCCTCTTTAAACTTGGCCAGCTCAACAGTTTGCTTGTTGGTGACATCTTGAAACAGATTCCGTGCTTTCTCTTCTGACGCTTTAGCTTCATCTATAATTTTTGCTGTAAAATATGTTTTTATGGATGATAATGGAATGGTGCACCCGCCTGCGCTAACGGTTTACGCTGGCGGGGCACCAGTGGAGGATGATAAGATGAGCATGAGGTCAGGTCATCGTGACAAATTTACTAGGAACTTTTCATGATGGTTTCCAGGGGGAACCGCGTGAAGGTCGACCTGATATGGTACAGTGCTAGCTATGGGAATTACTAGTTCCCATTACTAACAATTCCCTTCCCCCAATATTTACATATTACAATAATAGTACTACATATAATAATTTATATACGGCCTCGGTAGTTTTGCAGATTAGTTGGTGTGTTAAAAGTGGTGTGTTAAAAGTGGTTCGATTTCTCGCACCTTATAAATATTTCGTCGATTACGTACGTACGTCGTATGAGTTATTATAGAAAAATTATATTTTTCAAAATTAGAACTTTTAATAACTTTTAACTACGCAATGGATTTTGAAACGGCTTTTTTACAAGATAGAGTGATTCAAGAAGGTTTATATTAATAATACATGTACACCCGTGCGAGGCCGGGGTGGGAAGGTAGTATAACAATAATAATCATATCCTCGACAATTAACACAGCGTCATCTAGTCCCAAGGTAGGCAGAGCTTTTGTTATGGTTACTAGACAACTTATATAAATACTTAGAAATTTTCTTTTTGTAAATACGTAATATACACAGTAAACACTAACACCGATATAAACAATCGTACTCATGAATATATGTTTGTACCGTGCGAGGAATCGAACCCGCGACAATCGGAAGAAAAGCGGTGTCTACCGCTGAACTACCGAGGCTGTTCAATTAAATATCACTTCAATGAATAAAACTAATATTATAAAATACGTTACAATTTTTCATCCATTGAATTAAATTGTCGACGTCGTTCTTTCCTTCTTTCTTTAGTTTCTCAAAAGCTTCTTCCATTACAATGTTTTTTATGTTTATTTTTTTCTTTACAAAATGGCAACTGTCAGTTCCCTACCCGATTTAATCTCAGGTTGATTTTTTTTTATATTCAAGTAGGTTTAACTACATGAACTATTTAAAAAGTGACAATGGACTAAAAAAAAGGTTGTTTGACATCCTTTTTTTAGGTATATATATTTTTTGTAGGTACATATAAGTACCTTCACCACAAAAAAACAGTCCCCAAATACGGCAATTAATTTTTGGAATGTCTTAATTTGATATTTATATTAAGGCAAATATAACTGCTAAATCTTTATTGAGAACTAGTTATACCCACAACTTTGTCCGCGTGGAATATAACTTTATTTTTCTAAAATAAATGTAGCCTAAGTTACGCCTTATACTACCTGCCAATAAAAGTCCCGTCAAAATCAGTCCAGCCATTTCAGAGATTAGTCGGAACAAACAAATAGACAGACAAAAATTGTATAAAATGTTATTTTGGTGTATGTACCGTATTTATATTCATATGCATGTAGTAAAAAACGGTTATTTCAATATTACAAACAGACACTCCAATTTTATTTATGTGTAGATAGGCGGGGAAAAATGTTGGAGTACCTAATACGACACGACTAACTTATAAAAAATATTATCGAAAGAAAAATTGATGGAAAGAGAGGAATGGGAAGACCGAGACACAGCTATATCAAACAAGTTAAGGAAAAAGTTGGATATATTTAATCAATAATGAAACACGTGTCGCGATATGGGTGTAGACTCAATAACGGTCGGAATTTGATCGCCACTGGAGAAGGTCGTAGCGCTGGTCAGGTTTCTACACCGAATATTTGTAGTCTCACACATGTTAATTGTAGCGGAATCAAACAAATATAAATATATATAAATCCATCGAGTAGTGAAAAAGTTGGAGTCGTGTGGAAGGTGGCAGGAGCTCCACCGATAAGAGCACAGCTCTTAAATTATGAATGAATGAATGTACATTCTATACCATTTTGTATAAAACTTGGTAGTACAAATATACGAAAAAAAAACAAGGAGTATTAAAAAATAATATATTTGTTATATTATATTTTCATCAAAAAAATAAAGGTACATATCTAGCAATTATTAAACAAAACATACAATCGTAACGTAACACTTTAAAACATCAATAATCACACTTGCACTCATCGCACCATTTACTTCGGTCACAATTTTGACCGCGCGGGCAAAAACTCACACGCATCTGAGCAAAAACTTTAAATATGAGTGGCAGTTCAAGTATTATGTAAGAGCTGTATGGTGTTTTTATTTTGCTTATTTTGGACGGGACATGATGATGATGCGGGAGTCTAGATTACGTCATCGGTAGTTATTTACTTTTTTACTCGAATGGTAACTCTCACATTTGTCTTTACAAAAAAATTCAAAAATTCAAAATTAAAAAAAAATATTTATTCATGTAGGTCCGTAACAGACACTTATGACAAATCTAATTATAATCAATATATATTGTATATACGAGATAGTGTAACAATTACACTACTACTTAGAGAACATATTAATATAATAACTTTTAGATCCAGGAACAAATCTTAGCCTAGTCTTACATCACAAAGACAATAAAAAAACAATACATAAATTGAAAAATGTTACGTCAGCTTGGGGGGAGAGGGTAAGAGTCTTGCTTACTTTTGCTGACAAGGGGGATTGGGGGGGGGGGGATAATTGTAATAAATCTTACGTAATACTTGAACGGCCCCTGATCGTACATTATAAATATATAAATTTTATAAAAAATGTAGGTCACTGTATTATTGTGGTTATTATCATTATGGATACTTTGATTACTTGTTGCTGCTTTTTTTTTATACCACGTAAGTGGCAAACAAGGATACGGCCTATCTGATGGTGAACGGTTACCGCAGTTTATGGCAACATTGACGTTTCTACTCTTGTGGACAAATCCGTCAATGTTCTGTGCGCGTTGTAGCATAGTATAGCACGGATGACAAGCTTACAACTCATTAAAACTCATTTTCTATGTTTTATTTTTTTAATTACTGCAGTATCACAAAAATATAAAGCATTGCATACAGAGCATTTACAAATTACTCTGCATGAGCACTTCTGTCTCACCTATTTCAGGCAGTTTGTTTTGTGACATTGAAATCACTGTGTACAGAAGCATGTCAGTCCTCAGGAATGACAAATCAAGACGGGGAGTCAACAGTCAGCCGGACAGTCATCTTCATTACCATTCCAGTTATATAATTGATCATTATATAATTGATTATGGGAATGACTTACTTATTGTCTTTTCTGAAAATCTCTGAAGATTTATTTACAGTAAAAAGTACAAATATGTTAGTTGCTACCCGCACTATACTAGAGCGCGCAAAGTACTTTGTTTCAGTCTACTCTTCAGACTGAAGCTTAATCAATTTGGCGCTGTAGTTTCACAAAGAAATACACCTTTTGAATTGGTTTGGTAAAAGTTACGGCATTACATAGTATAAATTAGGAGCACTATAAGTAGTGCTGTAATTACTATCACCATGAAGCAATTTGATTTTCTCTGAAAACACAGTACATCGTTGTACACATCACATTATGTATATCGCAAAGTACGCCATGTAATACTATTGACCTGCCTGCTTTTGTTATTGAGTAGGGCGCTTTTGACTTAAAGATATACATATAAATGTTGTAAGAAAAAACTTTAATGATTTTAATATCCATCAAATTGACTTTCTGTACCTAATCCCAATATGCCACAGTTTTCCACATGCTCAACTAAGTCATCCAGTATATATGTATATACGTGGATACTGGAGTTATACAAATATATCATCACTAGTACAGTTTGTAATTAATTTGAATTACTAATGGGACAATACATTGCCAGTTTAATGTTGCACCAGAACTTTATATAAACTATATCAGTTTCATTACGTACAATTTCCAGGAGTATATACAATATTTGTGAAATGATCAATGGAAGCTCATTGGCGCATTGAACAAACAATATTATATACATGTTTTATATTAAACAATATTTCATACACTAGACTTTGTAATTAAAAACAAAAAATACTTTTTTTTGTACATACATATGTCAATGGTAACAGGACTATGGCCAAAGTAAATTAAATTAGAAAGGTCAAGGTAAATAAAATGTTTGAGAACTTTCAATGGGCATCTTTCATGTTGTTTTGTTTTATTTAATCTACCTACATATTGTTATGTATTTAAAGAAAACAAACATGATAATTATTAAAACTGGTTATATGAAAAAAATAGATTTTATATACCATTGTTATTCAAACAATTGCCTTATATTCCAAAACTAATAAATAATATATTATTGATATTTATTAAGTATTTCAGAATTTATAATTAACTTTAACTATTTCAATTTACATTAAGAATGTTTCACACACTTAACGAAAATCTTCATTAAAACAAATGTTATACACTTTTGAAAAACAAATCGATACAAATAATTTTTCCAAACTTTGTATCATTGAATTAATTCAGTTTACTATTAAGCGTGTGATTTGATTGTTATACAAATATATTCGAAATTGCATGATAGCGACTAAACTAAATAAATATACTATATAAGTATTTGTATAAAATTGGCAATAGTGTAATTAATACCTTAGAGTTTAGAAACAATCAGTTACCACCGTAAACTGTACACTTTGTACCAACGTTCATATATATCTGGTCAAAAACTCACACTATTCCAGAATTGCAATAATACATCTTTAGAAGTTTGTGACCATTTCACTATTAGTCAAAAGTCACCGTCCGGACAAACAAATTAACAAACAATACTACCACATTCCACCAAAGTTCACATATCGCAAGTCATAAACTCATACTATCCATAACTTTACTTCGTATGAGTTTTAGACCAATTCACCACTGGTCAAAAATTTGCCGGACGATGATATTAAAAACAATGCCTTTCGTGCACTAAACATACCAGTCTTATTTTTTTTTAGTTTTACGTTGAGTATTTACACTAGTGTACATACAGCGGTTTCGTTGCTATAATAATAGTTACAAAAAAGGTAATATACAGGAAGATGTACCCTTAAGATCTTTTCTATCTTTAAGGGACCCTAAAAAGATTAAATGACTTCCTACACTACTAGTGTCAATTTGAGACCTTCAAACATATACCAGTTCGTATAATGTTGGTTCACAAGTTACCCGTTGAGACTGGGAGAGTGTCGGGTCGGGTGTTTGGGTATGAACGACACTGACATCAGGTCGTCGTCTTCTTGAAGGAGACAACCGTCGTTTGTTTTATTACGTTGGAACAATCTGTAAAAGAGATTTAATTTTCAATGTTAATTTTATCCAATGAGTTGGTCAAAATTATGGACAGGGCATATCTCTTCTCTACGTGCCATAAAATGGTAAAATTTTGCGTTAACACACGCTAAAGTTGCATTTGTATAATCTGAGATTGAGTTTGAACAAATTAAAATTGCGTTTACACAAACTGACATTGTTGACATAAACTGTCACTTTGTTTACATAAACTGACACTGTGTTTACACAAACTGACAATTTGTTTACACAAACTGACACTGTGTTTACACAAACTGACAATTTGTTTACACAAACTGACAATGTGTTTACACAAACTGACAATGTGTTTACACAAACTGACAGTGTTTACACAAACTGACAGTGTGTTTACACAAACTGACAGTGTGTTTACACAAACTGACAGTGTGTTTACACAAACTGACAGTGTGTTTACACAAACTGACAGTGTGTTTACACAAACTGACAGTGTGTTTACACAAACTGACAGTGTGTTTACACGAACTGACAATGTGTTTACACAAACTGACAGTGTGTTTACACAAACTGACAATGTGTTTACACAAACTGACAGTGTGTTTACACAAACTGAAAATGTGTTTACACAAACTGACAATGTGTTTACACAAACTGACATTGCGTTTACAAAAACCCACATTGCGTTTACACAAACAAATATAACTTTAGCGAAATCGTCTGCTATTACATTTTCATTAGTATTACAAATTAGTTGCCGGCCTTTTGAGATGGAAATAACCTACCTGGCTGATAAACTGTGCATGTGTATACATACTTGGTGAGGGGCGATGCGGCCCTGTCTGCGAGGTTGATCCTCTCGCCTAGTCCTCGGTGGACCGACACAGAGTCCAGGTCTACCAGCTGGACGGACTGCTTGTACTCCGCCGTCTCCAGCTGTTCCGTTGTTTGTTTCTTGAAGCTGGAAAAAAATTGTTGCAAATATATATAAAAGGGTACTCTACAAAATTCAAATACTAAAATCTTCAACAACGCATCTTAATAAAAATGTATTCTGTATGACTTTGAAGTTATATAATAAACTAGCAAAACACACGTTGCTGTGGCTAAGGTTCTTGAATAAAATAATTTTGCGACTATAAATTGAGATGTAAGCTATCCTATCTTTCGAGTTGGATCAAATTGCACACAATGTGCAAATCAAATTTGCAATCGGTTCAGTAGTTTAGGAGTCCATTGCGGACAGATAACGTGACACGTAATTTTTATCTATAAAAATTACTAAGACTTGAAATCAGAAATATTAATCTATTTAAACAAAGAGAATTTTTACTAACTAATTATTCAAATATGTAGGTCTATTACAAACTCTTATGATATTTCAAATCTACCGTCAGTTCGGAATAATTTCGTGATGAAAAGAACTGACTAGAAACTCAGCTCGTATTCTTTTCCATATTGTTTAAAATATTATTATAATTGTTGCTGACGCCACATGCTGTTATAGTACATATATTATATTTTTTTAAAGAAATTTATTATATATTTTTTGTGTACAGAACTTTAATATCAAATAAACATTGTGACAGACACATATAATATTAATACTTATTTAAATGCAATTTATTGTTAAACATTTAAACTTGTACGCTTACTCAATTAAAACTGTTAAATTTACTAAATAAATTTATGTGTGTGAGTACTTACGTTTTAAGTAATAAACTGGAGCATACAACGGACACTGAACTCATTGCCATGGCAGCGGACGCCATCCACGGCTGCAAGCATACAACAATAATACAATCTTATTTAATTATATACTACTGTAGCTCGCCTCCGATCGATGCCCCGTCCAATTCAAACGGGGATCGAAATTACGACGGCCTGAGCCGAGGTTCGAACCCCTAGCGGTGCCCTCAGACTAAAGTCGTATCCGTCAGGCAGGAGTTGGCCTTCAGCCGCTCCATAAGTCCTTCCGCGGGTTTGGAGTGCCATCTGCACTCGCTCCTAACGTCCGGTGAAGTTATAAAGGCCAGCTACGGCCAACAGCATTAGAGTAGTCCGAAAAAAAAAACTACTGTAGCAGAACACGTCATTCGTGAAAAACAGCTACGCGCCAACTGCGGGCGCAATTTTTTTTTCGGACTACTCTATTGCTGTTGGCCGCAGCTGGCCTTTACAGATAGGGAGCGAGTGCAAATAACACTCCAAAGCAAAGGAATTATGGAATAGAATAGAATCTTGTAGATTAGAATAGAATATCAAATAGCTGCCCCGGGCAGGCATCAAAGGGGGCAGTAGGCCCTAATCGATCCCTGGACCCCGTCCAGGGATCGATTAGGGCCTACTGCCCCTCCCATCCCCTCGGATCAAGCCTGCGCCTAATGCGAATGCGGATCGAAGTTACGGTGGCCTGAGCCAATCCACAAGGGGTGATTAAAGTTGTATCCGTCAGGCAAGAATAGTCCTTAAGTCTTTCCGCAGGTTTAGAATGCCATCTGCACTCGTCGCCCATAGTCTGGAGAAGCTGTAAAGGCCATCTGCGGCCGACAGCATTAGAGTCCAAAAAGAACTAGCCCTTACCTCCAATTGGAGTCCGTATGCGGCGAAGGCTCCACTGGCGAGTGGTATCCCGAGCAGGTTGTATACGGACGCGAACAGGAAGTTGAACCGCACGCGCCGCACCGTCGTCCGCGACAGTCGCAAGCACGACACCACGTCTAGCAGGTCGTTCTACACACGGACAAACATTACGTTATTAGTAGATAGTTCTATTTACTTATTTATAACTGTACCCGCGACTTCGTTCGCGTGGAATTTAACAAAAAAGTTAATTAGAGAATTTTTCTAAAATAATAGCCTAAGTTACACGTTATTACATCAGCTACCTGCTAATAAAACTCTCGTCAAAATCGGTCCAACCATTTCAGAGATTTAGCCGGAACAAACAGACAGCCAGACAAATTGTAAAATGTTATTTTGGTGTATGTACCGTATCTATATTCATATGCATGTGGTAAAAAACGGTTATTTCAATATTACAAATGAAATTTAAAATTAAAATCTAAATAGCTCCTACAGGACGTCTTTTAAAAAAAATCTTAGAATGGATATCAGATGTATGGTAGTGCGCACTGAGGCGCATGAGCACGATGTCGGCGATATGGAGCGTGTATAGTGAGTGCTATAATAAATAGTGTGTATTATCACTTAGGTTTACTAATATGTCGCTACGGTCATGATGTCGGTGTCATGTGAGTGCCAATATGAATAGTGTGTATTATCACTTAAGTTTACAAATATCTCGGTACGTCAATGATGTCGGTGTCATTTGAGTGCCAATATGAATAGTGTGTATTATCACTTAAGTTTACTAATATGTCGGTACGGTCATCATGCCGGTGTCATGTGACCGCCAATATGACTAGTGTGTATTATCAGTTAAGTGATACAGGTGTGGTATGTAAGTGCGCACTGACCCGCATGAGCACGATGTCCGCGGCCTCTGCTGCGACGTCGGTGCCGCTGGCGATGGCGATGCCCACGTCCGCGCCGGCCAGCGCCGGGCTGTCGTTCACGCCGTCGCCCACCTACCACACCACGCACTCATCAGGATACCATCAGCCACATTATGTATAAACTTATACAGCCCGGCCACAGGTGTAACGAGTATAAGGAAAAATATACGACCCCCGTGGTCTAAGATCATACGGTACAACGAGTAATATACAGCCTCGGTAGTCTAGCGGTTTAGTACAGGGTTTTACTTCCGATGGTCGCAGGTTCAATTGTGTTTTGTTTAAATAAAATCAAAAATGATTTATTCATGTTGCATATATTTCGGTCTGGGTGTTTTATATATATACAAATAATATTTCAGTATTTGTATCAATTGTCTAGTACCCATAACTCATACCTATACCCATAGATGGATGTGTGGTGTGACGAGGATAGACAAGATAAAGAGTGAATACATGAGAGGAAGTATGAAAGTGGCACCGATGTCGGAGAGGTTAAAGAGTAATCGTCCATCGTGGTATGGACATGTAATGCATAGGAATGAAGATCATATCCTAAGGACGGTGTTACATATGAATGTGGATGGTTATAAGGGTAGAGGAAGACCGAAAAAGAGATGGATGGACTGTGTGAAAGATGATATGGTGAGAAAGGGAGTAAATACGAAATAACTGCGAACAGAGATGAATGGAAAGGAAAAACATTACGACGCCCACAAATAAATGGGATAAGGAAGAAGCAGATGATGATGATGTCTAGTACCCATAACATAAGCTTTACTTAGCTTCATAAAGAGAATGCTATTAGCATTAGGCCCGCCTATTTTTAGTTAAGTTTTAAATAGATAGATAGATAATTGATATATTGCCAACATTACACAAATGATACAGTCTACAATAAGACACAAAATGAGAAATAAATAATAACATAGAAAGTTGGCAATAGGAGATAGTTGGCAATAAATAAAGTACAAAATATACTATTTAAGTTTCAGTAATTCACACACACAAACACATACGCATAATGGTTACACGTATATATATCGAGTACAGGCACAGGTTATTTTTGTTTTGTACTTTATTATAGTTTAATCTTTCTTTTTGTTTATAAGTAAAATTTTCTTTGTTTCGGTAAATTTAAATATATTTTAAATTTTATTAGACAATACGTGATGGGTAATATAATAGTATGTATTTTTTGGAATTATATAAACTCGGTGGAGCGTTTCGATATTGGCAACACAGTTTTTCCAATTAAAACGGGGATCGAAATTACGACGGCTGAGCCGAGATTCGAACCCCTATCGGTGCCCTCAGACTAAAGTCGTATCCGTCAGGCAGGAAGGCCTTCAGCCGCTCCATAAGTCCTTCCTTGGTTTGGAGTGTCATCTGCACTCGCCCCCTAACATCCAGTGAAGCTGTAAAGGCCAGCTGCGGCCAACAGCATTAGAGTAGTCCGAAAAAAAACTGTGTATGTCATCGTTTCATCAGTAAATTAGTACACATATTTACTGTTAAGTAAATGAATAAAAAATTGTTTGGGAAACTACTCTGCTACCAAATGTTAGGGAATTTACTCTCTGTATATCTATAGGGGGATTTAGTGTGTAAGCGTCAGTCACGTACCTTTACGGTTCTGCGGACTTCTTGGGCTTCAGGGTCTCGAAGATATCTTCGCTAGCTTTCACAATAGGTTTAACACAGTAGGTTTCACAGTTCAAATTTATTTTAATTCACAACACAATGCGCGCGCGTCAAGGCTGCCGTACAGTCCGTTCAGTACTAGGTAAGGGAGGGGAAGGCAAAGCGCGGGAACAGAAACTAACGGGCTCTAATATAATAATCTGTGCTAACGATGATATAGGGTAGATTTTGAACAAAAATATATAAATAAAGGTTAGACTGAGGCGTCCACGCAGACTGTAGTTTTTAGCAAAGGTAGATGATCTGTCTGCGATGGCAACAGCTGTCCGGTGTGAGATAGAAAGTTGGCAATAAATAAATAAAGTACAAAATATAATATTTAACTTCATCATAAAGCTCAACGTATACTCACCATAGCGACCTTCTGTCCCATTTCTTGCAGCTCCTTTATTTTGGCCACCTTGTGCGAGGGTAGTACCTCCGCGTACACCTTGGTTATTCCCACCTGCAAGCAATACACAATCATTTAATAAATTATCTAAAACTGTAAATTTGCATCAATTTAATAATAATATTAAATCAGCAAGACATGATTTTTTTTATTGGGTTGTTTGGACTGTTGTCAGAAGTTTTTTTTGTGGATGATAATGGAATGGTGCACCCGTCTGCGCTAATGGTTTACGCTGGCGGGGTACCAGTGGAGGATGATAAGATGAGCATGAGGTCAGGTCAGTTAGCCCATCGTGACAAATTCACTAGGAAATTTATACGACGGTTTCCAGGGGGAACCGCGTGGAGGTCAACCTGACATGGTACATTGCGAGGAAGGGTATTGTTAGTAATGTGGACTAATAATCCACGTGGTCGTGCCTGAAAAATATCATGTTAAATTCCTGGTGGATTTGCCACGTTGGGCTAACTGTCCAGCCTCATCCCTTGTGATTTTGATTTAAGAGATGATCTTATCATCCTTCATTAGTGTCCCGCCAGCGTAACAGTTAGCACTGAAAAACTGAACTTGTGCTTCATTAGAATAGAATAGAAAATCATTTATTCAAATAAACTTACATTGAAGCACTTTTAAATAGTCATAACAATTTTTTTTAACTACCGCTCGTTCGGAAAGCTCTCATCACAAGAAGAACGAGCAAGAAACTTGTGTGTTGCTCTTTTAAATAATCCTTGTAAGTTTACATTTACAAGTCGAAACGTGTGAATACAAACTACCAACCAGCACTAATTTTTTTGGGTCATATATACAATAAGATTAAATCAGTAGTAGTGATAAGAGCAGACCAGTCCCTACAAGCAGTACTCTCTAGAAATAGTCTATTGGAGTATTTGTTCGAGTAGCCCGAGTCAATCTCACCCACTCACCGATAAGACAGTGAAATTAAAGGATAAGAGGCATGATATATAAGTCCTCCAGAATGACATCGCAGGTACGATATTTTCACGCATAGTCGACAGTTACCACTTACCATCAGGTTGGGGCTTTTGAGACTCGAACGAAGTAGGCCCTTCTACTTAACACAATTACATTACATTGCATTTGCAGTAGAAGAATTGTATTGTCCCTTTTTATAATATATTTACAATAATGTCAATCTATATTTGACAACTATTATACGTAATAAAACTTAATCTGTGAGGAGGTTGTATACACCTAACAATAATATTACTGTTTGGGAAACTACTCTGCTACCAAAATGTTAGGGAATTTACTATGTGTATATATATAGTGAAAAATTAGTGGAATCGTCAGTCACGTACCTGTATGGTTCTGCGGATTTCTTGGGCTTCAGGGTCTCGAAGATATCTTCGCTAGCTTTCCAGTTTCACAGTAGGTTTCACAGTTCTAATTTATTTTAATTCGCGACACAATGCGCGCGCGTCATGGACGCCGTACAGTCGGTTCAGTACTAGGTAAGGGAGGGGAACGAAAGGCGCGGGAACAGAAACTAACGGACTCTAATATAATAATCTGTGCTTACGATGGTACAGGGTAGATTTTGAACAATTACCATGAGTAATATTATTGTTAGGTGTAAACTTAATCGGTGAGGAGGTAAACTTAATAGGTGTATATACAACCTCCTCACCGATTAAGTTTACCTCCTCACAGATTAAGTTTTATTACGTGTAATAGTTGCCAAATATAGATTGACATTATTGTAAATATATTATAAAAAGGGACAATACAATTCTCTGCAAACGTACATATTATTTATTATTTAACACATCATAACAACACAAAAGAACCCCACCACAACAATTATCTTACATCTAATGTTTATATTATGGTTCTACTGTTGAACTGAATGGTTCCATTCAGTTCAGTATACACAGCGTAATAATAACTTATAATAATATTTAGCCACCACATAACACTTTGGTAAAAAGTGTTTTAAAAAGCAATAATAATTTCTTTGAAAAATTAGACTACCTGTCTGGCGATGGCGACAGCTGTCTTTCGGTTGTCGCCCGTGAGAAGGCACACCTGCAGGCCCATCTTCTTGAGGCAGTAGACCGCCAGATGCGCCTCCGGCTTCACCTCGTCCGCTATACCCAGGGTGCAGACCAGTTGATCTGTGGAATATATTAATATGATCTATGGAATACTGTAAACAATCGATACTTGAATACACTTTTTTTGTAAATCATTACATAGTATAAAACAAAGTTGCTGTCGCTGTCTGTCCGTCCATATGTATGCTTAAATCTTTAAAACTGCGCAACGGATTTTGACGCGGTTTTTTTTAATTGGTAGACTGATTTAAGAGGAAGGTTTATATATGTAATACATGTATACTCGTGCGAAGGCAGGGCGAGTAGCTAGTAATATTATAAAGCTGAAGACTTTTTTTGTTTGAACGCGTTAATCTCAGGAACTACTGGTTCGAATTGAAAAATTCTTCTTGTGTTGGATAGTCCATTTGTCGAGGAAGGCTTTAAGCTATATAACATTACGCTACGACTAATAAGAGCGGAGCTGGAATGAAAAATATTGCAAAAGATGGGGAAATGAAACGCAGGCGAAGTTGCGTGGGTCAGCTAGTGAATAAATGAATAGATCAGAGCTCACCATCGATGGCGGCCAGTACAGCAGTCCTGCCCAGCTCCTCGTCTTCCTGCAGTATCTCATGCACCTTCGGCGGGATCGTCACGCCGTTCCTCATCATCCATTCCCTGTTGCCAATAAGCACGACCTGTTCTGTTTCCTGGGGTAAGTAAGCATTATTATTTAATATTATCAGAGTTTACAATAAGAGAGAGAGTGTGGAGCTCGCTACACTACCTGGGGGTGGGCGGTGGGTATGAGTGAGAGTGTGGTGATCGCCACAGTACCTGGGGGGTGGCGGTGGGTATGAGAGTGTGGTGGTCGCTACAGTACCTGGGGGGTGGCGGGGGGTATGAGTGTGTGGTGGTCGCTACAGTACCTGGGGGGTGGCGGGGGGTATGAGTGTGTGGTGGTCGCTACAGTACCTGGGGGGTGGCGGGGGGTATGAGTGTGTGGTGGTCGCTACAGTACCTGGGGGGTGGCGGGGGGTATGAGTGAGTGTGGTGGTCGCTACAGTACCTGGGGGGTGGCGGTGGGTATGAGAGTGTGGTGGTCGCTACAGTACCTGGGGGGTGGCGGGGGGTATGAGTGTGTGGTGGTCGCTACAGTACCTGGGGGGTGGCGGGGGGTATGAGTGTGTGGTGGTCGCTACAGTACCTGGGGGGTGGCGGGGGGTATGAGTGAGTGTGGTGGTCGCTACAGTACCTGGGGGGTGGCGGTGGGTATGAGTGAGTGTGGTGGTCGCTACAGTACCTGGGGGGTGGCGGTGGGTATGAGTGAGTGTGGTGGTCGCTACAGTACCTGGGGGGTGGCGGTGGGTATGAGTGAGTGTGGTGGTCGCTACAGTACCTGGGGGTGGCGGGGGGTATGAGTGTGTGGTGGTCGCTACAGTACCTGGGGGGTGGCGGTGGGTATGAGTGAGTGTGGTGGTCGCTACAGTACCTGGGGGGTGGCGGTGGGTATGAGTGAGTGTGGTGGTCGCTACAGTACCTGGGGGGTGGCGGGGGGTATGAGTGTGTGGTGGTCGCTACAGTACCTGGGGGGTGGCGGTGGGTATCAGTACCTGGGGGGTGGCGGGGGGTATCAGTACCTGGGGGGTGGCGGTGGGTATCAGTACCTGGGGGGTGGCGGTGGGTATCAGTACCTGGGGGGTGGCGGTGGGTATCAGTACCTGGGGGGTGGCGGTGGGTATCAGTACCTGGGGGGTGGCGGGGGGTATCAGTACCTGGGGGGTGGCGGTGGGTATCAGTACCTGAGGGGTGGCGGTGGGTATCAGTACCTGGGGGGTGGCGGTGGGTATCAGTACCTGGGGGGTGGCGGTGGGTATCAGTACCTGGGGGGTGGCGGTGGGTATCAGTACCTGGGGGAGGCGGTGGGTATCAGTACCTGGGGGGTGGCGGTGGGTATCAGTACCTGGGGGGTGGCGGGGGGTATCAGTACCTGGGGGGTGGCGGTGGGTATCAGTACCTGGGGGGTGGCGGTGGGTATAAGTACCTGGGGGGTGGCGGTGGGTATCAGTACCTGGGGGGTGGCGGTGGGTATCAGTACCTGGGGGGTGGCGGTGGGTATCAGTACCTGGGGGTGGCGGTGGGTATCAGTACCTGGGGGTGGCGGTGGGTATCAGTACCTGGGGGTGGCGGTGGGTATCAGTACCTGGGGGTGGCGGTGGGTATCAGTACCTGGGGGGTGGCGGTGGGTATCAGTACCTGGGGGGTGGCGGTGGGTATCAGTACCTGGGGGGTGGCGGTGGGTATCAGTACCTGAGGGGTGGCGGTGGGTATCAGTACCTGGGGGGTGGCGGTGGGTATCAGTACCTGGGGGGTGGCGGTGGGTATCAGTACCTGGGGGGTGGCGGGGGGTATCAGTACCTGGGGGGTGGCGGTGGGTATCAGTACCTGGGGGGTGGCGGTGGGTATCAGTACCTGGGGGGTGGCGGTGGGTATCAGTACCTGGGGGGTGGCGGTGGGTATCAGTACCTGGGGGGTGGCGGTGGGTATCAGTACCTGGGGGGTGGCGGTGGGTATCAGTACCTGGGGGTGGCGGTGGGTATCAGTACCTGGGGGTGGCGGTGGGTATCAGTACCTGGGGGGTGGCGGTGGGTATCAGTACCTGGGGGGTGGCGGTGGGTATCAGTACCTGGGGGGTGGCGGTGGGTATCAGTACCTGGGGGGTGGCGGTGGGTATCAGTACCTGGGGGGTGGCGGTGGGTATCAGTACCTGGGGGGTGGCGGTGGGTATCAGTACCTGGGGGGTGGCGGTGGGTATCAGTACCTGGGGGGTGGCGGTGGGTATCAGTACCTGGGGGGTGGCGGTGGGTATGAGTCGCTGCAGTCGCGCGGCGGCCTGCGCCGAGCTGAGCGCGGGGTCCCCGCCGGCCGCCACCACCCTCACCCGCACGCCGCCCACCACGCACTCCTCGCCGCCCGCCCTGCGCACACACAACCGACAACTTCATTGTTTGGCTGTAAAACTACTTGACAGAAAAAATAGTAGTAGTATATATTAACTGGTGAGTGAAGAGTGACCTGTGCGTGTGGAGGCTGCCCGGGAGCGCGTGCGGGCGCAGGCGGGCCCGCAGGCCGCAGCCGGGCGCGGACACGAACCCCGCGCACGGCAGCGGCGGGGCCGGGCCCAGCGCCGCGCTGCACCACCGCACCACCGCTGCAACACAACCACCACGTCAACTCCGACAAGATTACCAGTATTCGCCGCTCAACTGCGACCGTATCTCACCCTTTTTTACTTGGAGAAATCCGTCATGTAGACTCGCCGGCTTCCGATGTAACGAACGGACACACGCCGGCTAAAACCCTAAGATGTAGCTCTACTGCTTATTGCTGAAATCGGGAGTTTTCGCGAGCTCCAACGTTACCGGCTCGGTCACCGTCCACTTGTAGCTGTAACGTGGTCGTGTGGAATGAGTAGTTACTCACTAAAATGTCCAGACATGTGGCGACGTGGTGGGTCGGGTCATTGGGCTCCCTAAAATATGGTCGAGCGCAGTCATGACTAGCTCATCCGTCATACTCGTGAACGAGTGCTGCTTGTAGAAACTGGTCTGCTCTTATCACTACGACTGATTTAATCTTATTATGTCTTTTTATATTCGAGCCTAAATAAATTAGTTCTGGTTGGTAGTTTGTATTCACACATTTCGACTTGTAAAATGTGAACTTACAAGGATTGTTTGAAAGAGCAACATACAAGTTTCTTGGCTATTCTTATAATGAGACAGCTTTCCGAATAAGCGGTAGATTTAAAAAAATGTTAACTATTCAAAAGTGCTTAAATTTATTTGAATAAATGATTTCCTATTCTATTCTATTCTATTCTACTGTCGACTGTACGTGTACGGACCTGCCGCGACGGGGTGCTCCGAGTTGAGTTCTGCGGCCCGCAGGCAGGCCAGCACGTGCGGCAGGGCGGCCGGCTCGGTCACCAGCGCCGCACTCGCCACCGCCGTACGCCCGCAGGTCACCGTCCCAGTCTTATCAAATATCACGCACTTCACCTGCCACATACACACGCATCACAAACGAGCCGACGAGTTACCTAATGACCGCCTTCATGCGACACGTTACTTACTCACTAAACGATTACTTGAATGACGAGTGTGCATGGCTATAGTTGTTCATGCACTGAATTTTCATTTAATGTGATACATAGACACCTATATAAAAATCAATAATATATATAGTTTACTTGTGATTTCGCCCGAAGCATCTGGACATCATTCAACATTAGTATAATTAACTCACGTCTCAAGTAACTCAGTATAACAAACTTCACATGAGTTAATTTGGAGTTTTCAAGTCCAAGTCAATGATAACTATAACTAAATCGACTCCTCAATAACCTACAGTATTTTATTATAGTGGAGTATTGTGACCGAATACATTGTAAATAAACTGGCTTTAAAAAAGAAAGGTAATTCAATTGAGTTTCTTGCCAGTTCTTCTCAATTGAATCTATATACCGAACTGGAGGGTAGGGAAAAAATAAAATTATAATGTAAAAATTTGACGTTCATAAGTGGCTAAAATGTCCTACATGTATAAATGATTTTTGAATTTTAAATTTTGAATTTTGAATTTTAAAAATCAGCGGGAGTACTATTTTGCGCGTAATCACGCATGTGTTTAATTTCACTTTCTTTTGATATTATGTCCATCATTTTGTAATGCTAATTAATTGTTAAAGAAAGGCACAAAAGCATGCGGGATTGTAGTACGAGTGAACACAAAATTAGTTAAATGCAATCACTCACGATTGCAGGCGACTTTCTGTTTTTTTAAATACATACATAAAATATCCAAAACAATACAAATACTTATACCTTGCGAATTGAACACCATCGGAATCCGCGACCATCGGAATTAATGCAACGGCCTAAACCTAGCTAAGACCTGGGGTGTGCGTACCTTGTGCGCGTTCTCGAGGGGCTCGGCCCCCTTGATGAGCAGCCCGAGGTCCGCCCCGACGCCGGTGGCGACCATGATGGCGGTGGGCGTGGCCAGCCCCAGCGCGCACGGGCACGCGATGGCCAGCACCGACAGCGCGAAGTGGAACCCAGTCTGCACGATCAGCTCCCAGTCCGAGTAGCCAGCGTTCAGGTACATCTCCTGCTCGACGACACACCGAACATAGATTTTTTTTATCTTTATTGTAATTGAAATAAAGCTATATTGATTAGGATTTTAACCGCGTGGAGAACTGGTAGCGCCAGATGCCTCCGCCACGGCTGGCGAGACTTAGGAGTCTACTATCGCCTTATGAAAGAAAGACTAGTTCATCGAAATTTTACTTTATTCTTTTTTTTATTGCATAATTGTTATATTTCTGACACAAATAAAACCACTAATTAATTAATAGAAGATTATTTTGCTGGAGTTACTAACACACGTTGCAGTTACATTGAAGGAGAGGGGAAGGAAGAGTTAGTGAACGATCTCACTCGTTCCCGAGTCTCTAATCTTAATCTACAACATTAATATAACGCGACACGCGAAAACGAAGGATCCTGGGGATGATACACCCCAGCAATATACCCGGGCAAAGAACGAAGGTTCGAGGCCCGGACTCGCCGGCATATACATTATCTGATCCGGGCCTCGAAACCTCGAGGTAGACCATGCTTGCTTGCTCGCTTCATAAGATGCCGAAAAATAATCTATACTAGTCAACCCACATGACATCGTCTGCATTATGTATCACCCGTTTTTTGCAACTGTATTAATTACTAGCTACTCGCCCCGACTTCGTCTGGATGTACATGTGTTATATATATAAACCTTCCTCTAGAATCACTCTATTTAAAAAAAACCGCTTCAAAATCTATTGCGTAGTTTTAAAGATTCATACAAACATACAGGAACGGACAGACAGCGACAGTGACTTTGTTTTATACTATGTAATAATGATTTTAGACACCATTTTCTTTTAAGGTTTTATTTTTTATTATTACGTTGATAAATGTACAGTATTATATGTACTATGTTATAAAAAATCGCACTTTACATCTTTTTAATATTAGTGATTATATACTACTGTTCATTTTTTTTTTTATTTTTAGAATGCATTTCTCTCATTATAAATAATAGAACTGCATCTAATTCACACACAAAGCACAGTTTACTCTATATGGGACACAGTTACCTAGATACATCATAATAATAATTGCATTTAATAATGTCTAGTAGGACAAATCCAATATTGTCTACTAAGCACTGCTGTGTCTAAACTGTGTATGGGCTTGATCTGGATTATCTTTATATATATTTAAATAAAATAACAAAGCAAACGTTTATCTAATTTAATTTTATATGAGACAAGACAGTTGACATATTTAAGTTGCGCGCGCAGCTTCGCATGCGCGCTGCCTATACAATATATTTATGTACGTATACAGCCATATTACTCCCTTCCAGAGACCGTTCCTACGGGCGATAATACTCTGGAAATTTTACTATACGTCCTAATCTTGTTTTAGTTTTTATTTTTTCAGGTGCAGGCGTATCGTCGGAGCATTCAGGTGGAGTGCGGCTGCTGTCATCTAATATGTACGCTGGCTTTAAGCGATCGACGGATACAGTGACAGGTTTGCCTTTTACTATTATTTTGTATACTTTTTCAGATCTCTCTAGTACAGCATATGGACCGGTGTATGCAGGTTGCAAGGAAGCTCGTACTGCATCATCTCTTAGGAAGACATGACTAGCAGTTGGTAAGTCCTTAAAAATAAATATGGATGGTTTTACGTGGCGTGAAGCAGGTGAAGGTTTCAAATTATTTGCAAACGAGCGCAATCGAGCGCTGTACTCAGTGACGTCTGTTGTTACAGCTGTGCTGGGGTCAATAAATTCTCCCGGTAAGCGCAGCGGTTCTCCATAGACCATTTCTGCAGTACTCGCTTGAAGATCTTCCTTATACGCACTTCGAATTCCAAGTAGTACCAAAGGTAAGGCTTCCATCCAGTTTTCAGTTGCATGACATGTAATGGCATTTTTTAACTGTCTATGGAATCTCTCTATAATTCCATTGCATGCAGGATGATATGCAGTAGTCTTCTTATGATGAAATCCTGATATTTTGGATAGATGTTGAAATAGAGAAGATTCAAACTGTTTACCACGGTCTGTTACTATATCTATGGGTGATCCAAATCTTGATATCCAACCAGTGAGCAAAGCTTTTGCGACTGTTTCAGCTGTAGCATCGGGTATTGGTATCACCTCAGGCCATCGACTGAAGCGATCTATAGCAGTGAGGCAATAGCGGTTTCCATTACAAATTGGAAGTGGTCCGATGAGATCTATATGTACGTGCATAAATCGTGCTCGTGGCAGTTGGAATGAACCCAAAGGGGATGATACATGCCTAGTTATCTTAGATCGTTGACAAGCTAAACATGTACGTGTCCACTCTCTGCAGTCTTTTTTAATACCAGGCCATACGTAGCGTTCTGCTACTAACTTGACCGTTGCATTAGCACCAGGATGGCTTAATGCATGTAGGCTATTAAAAACTTGTTTCCGCAGTGGCTTTGTGACAAAGGGCCTTGAAATTGGAGTGCTTACGTCACAATATAATTCGGCGTGAGTTCCAGGTATCTTTACCTTCTCCAAATGTAATGATGTTTTATGGTCCAGCATTTCTCTTAATTCTGGATCGGATGCTTGTGATTCAGATAGTTGAGAGAAATCTATAGAAAGTTCTAGTTCTTCTACTCTACTCAATGTGTCAGCGACTATGTTATTTTTACCAGAGATGTGTCTTAAGTCAGTTGTAAACTGCGATATAAAATCGAGATGACGAAACTGTCTCGGTGAACATTTGTCTTTGCGTTGATGAAAAGCGAAACATAATGGTTTATGGTCTGTGAAAATTGTGAAATCTCTAGCTTCAACCATGTGTCTAAAATATTTCAATGCTTCATAAATCGCGAGAAGTTCTCGATCATATGGAGAATATTTTTGTTGTGCTGCGGTTAACTTACGTGAAAAGAAAGCAAGCGGTTGCCAGTCACCGTCTTTATATTGCTGTAATGCAGCACCAATTGCTTTATCTGATGCATCTGTGACAAGACCTAATTTACATTGGCAATCGGGATGAGCGAGAAGTGTAGCACGACAGAGACTTTCTTTACAATCCTCAAATGCTTGAAGTGTGTCACCACATAAGTTGACAGGGTGAGATCCTTTTACAGAACCAATCATTAGAGAATGAAGGGGTGCTTGAGTTTCTGCAGCTCCGGGAATAAACCGTCTGTAGAAATTAAGCATTCCTAAAAATCTTCGAAGTTCTCGAACTGTCTTCGGAGGTGGAAATGATTTGATAGCTTCAGCTTTCTCCTCAAGAGGTTTAATTCCGTCGGCTGATATACTGTATCCAAGAAATTTGACTTCCTTTGAATGATACCGTAATCCTTCAGTCTATGGAATAGTATGCGCAGATGCTCTTCATGGAGGTCTTCATTCTTCGAAAACACTAGAAAATCGTCAATGTATGGATAGACAAAATCTAGCCCTCGTGTAATTTCATCCACAAAACGCTGAAAAGTTTGACCTGCATTTCGTAATCCGAAGGTCATGGCAGGAAATTCATATAATCCGAATGGTGTTGTGATGGCAGTCTTATGAATATCGTCTGTATTAACAGGAATCTGATGGAAGGCTTTAACAAGATCAATTGTTGAGAATACTGTACAACCTGATATACTGTGTGTGAAATCATGGACATGTCTGACAGGATATCTATCAGGTATGGTGCGAGCATTCAGCATTCGATAATCTCCACAAGGTCGCCATCCATTATCTTTCTTTGGTGTGAGATGTAGTGGCGATGCCCAGGAGCTTTCTGAAGGTCGTGTAATACCTAATTTCAGCATATTCTCAAATTCTGTTTTTGCTATTTTTAGTTTGTCTGGTGCGAGGCGGCGTGGTGTGCAGGATATAGGTGGTCCTGGTGTGGTCCTGATAAAATGAACAGTACTGTGCTTAACTTCAGCTTGTCTTCCAGATGGATGTGTGATTTCGGGAAAATCTTTCAGAATTTGGTCGTACCGTGAGTCACCGATTGGTATCTTGATAGAAGAAATGGCAGTTGATGAGTGAGCAGGAGAACAAACGATAGAAAGTGTCGTTGTATTGTCCAGCAAACGTTGGTTACGTATGTCTACAAGAAGGCCATAGAACTTCAAGAAATCAGCTCCTATAATTGCTTTAGTGACATCACCAACGATGAAACGCCATGGGAAATCGCGACGTAAACCAATATCCAAATCTAGATGAGTATATCCGAATGTGTTAATTGTTGTACCGTTTGCAGCAGATAATTCAAAATCTGATTTAGGACGACGCTCATGTAGTGCTCGCCGTGGGAAGACACAAACGTCGCTACCTGTATCGACAAGAAATTGCATCTTCGACCGACGATCTACAACAAACAGGCGACCAGACGTATTGGGACGGTCGTACGTCGCCATTACAGACCGCCCTCTGCATTTCCCGCATGATATTTACATGGTTTCACACAACGCTTAGCTTTTGATCCAAACTTTGCGTGGTACCAACAGTTCGGGAATTTTCTATAGTTGGACTCTGATTGCGTTTTCGAGTGGCTGCGACTTCGTTGACGAGACGGGGAACGAGACTGACGATCTAGAAGCATCTTCATCTGTCTTCGAAGCTCAGCTATCTCGTTAGCCATGGTGTCTAGCGATGATGCTGGAACTGAAGCGGCTGATACCTGCGGTGTAGCTGGAGCGATATCCTGGATGCGGTCTGCCAGATCTGAAAGTATCTCCAGTGACGCTGTGGGTTGAGCGGCTATCACCGTTTGTACGCTGTGTGGTAGTCTGCTTGTCCAGATAGTCTTGATGAAGTCTTCTGGAACGTTGGGTCCTGCGAGACTTTGTAAATGTCTCAAAAATTGAGATGGGCGGCGGTCTCCTAATTCCTCATGCATGAGAAGTTGTTTTACTTGTTTTTCACGTGAGGCGCTTAGACGTTTGATAAGCTCTGTTTTTAATTTATCATATTTTTCAGTGGAAGGTGGAGAGATAATAATATCTTTGACTTCTTTCGAAAATTGATGATCCAGTTGTCCAATAACGTAATTAAATTTTGTTATATCTGATGTAATAATTGAAACTGCGAATTGTCCCTCGACTTGTGCGAACCATATTTCTGGCTCTTCCGGCCAGAAAGGAGGAACGCGTATTCCGACTCTAAACAGTTCAGATGGTTCGGTAGCTATTGTATTTTCCAAAGACATGATGTTCATATATCAGTAAAATTGTGTTTTATATGTAATTTTGTTCTTTAAAAATATGTATTTTATATCCTTACGGTTCTGTCCAAGAGCGGGGTCACCAGTTATGGGCTTGATCTGGATTATCTTTATATATATTTAAATAAAATAACAAAGCAAACGTTTATCTAATTTAATTTTATATGAGACAAGACAGTTGACATATTTAAGTTGCGCGCGCAGCTTCGCATGCGCGCTGCCTATACAATATATTTATGTACGTATACAGCCATAGTGTCACCCCACCTTACATTTTCCTATTGTTATTTAGTATATAAGATCAATATTTCTATGTACATATTGTCAGTCTATTATCATCTATTGTTGGAAAGAAGATCAAGAGTGGAGGGAAGACTCTATAAACAGCGATGCCTTCTCAGCACCGACACACTCTCGCTTTGTGATTTAGACTGCTAGGTCGTTACTCTGCTAGTTTAGCTATCGGTTATAATATTTCTAAGTTCATAGTGTTGTTTTGTTTGATTTGAATTGGAGGTTAATTATTTCTGTTTGTAATTAGTATTCGTGTTTAATTATTTTTGCAGTACAAAAAAGCGATGTAAGAAGTTATCACTTTGATTCGTATTATTTAAATTTAGATGTATTGTTAAACGGTTACAATTAAATTGTATTGTTATAAATTTATTTTTGAGTCTAATTTCCTCAGTTAGCTAAAAATATTTTTTATTTAAATCTCTTCTGGTCTTATTTCCAAGATTATAATATACATCTTCTCAATCAACAACATCGTATCATTCACCCGCAACACTATAAATGCTATAGAAATTTCATAATTAATTAGTAAAAATTATAGTTATAGTACATTGTACTGTATCGTGTATTGACATCCCAGCTGCTCGAACTAACCGTTTTGCATCATCTTTCCTTATGAGAGCAGCTAAGGAGTGGAACTCTCTACCAGCGTCTATTTTTCCTGCCTCTTACAACATTGGGTCTTTTAAGTCAAGAGTGAATAGGCACTATTCGAGCTTGCGTGTAACAGCTTAGACCACATCATCCCTTAACATCAGGTGAGATTGCGGTCAAACGTGCTCAATTATGATATAAAAAAAAAATCGTTTGATACAAGTACACTTACCGGAGTGACATTCTTGATGCGCTGCACGTCGATGGCACCAGTCACGATCCAGCAGACCAGCGTCAGCAGAGACAAGAAGATTACCAGCGGCACGAAATACCTACCACAATATACAAATAATAAGTAAATAAATTCAAATTCAAATTCAAAAATCATTTTTTTAAAAAAGAGCAACACACAAGTTTCTTGCTCATTCTTCTTGTGATGCATCTGCATTCCAAATTAGAGGTAGAATCAAAATATGACTATTCAAAAGTGCTTGTAATGAGTTTATTTGAATAAAGATTATTTATATTTCTATTTATTCATGTAGGATATTTTAGCCGCTTATGAACGTCAAGTTTTTACATTATAATTTTTTTCCCTACCGCCAAGTTCGGTATATAGATCCAATTGAGAAGAACTGGCAAGAAACTCAATTGAATTACTTTTTTTTTAAAACCAGTTTATTTACAATGTACATTTATATAGGTGTCTATGTCTAACATTAAATGAAAATCCCGTGCATGAACAACTATTGCCATGCACGCTCGTCATTCAAGTAATCGTTTAGTGAGTAATAGGCTTTGCGCAGTAAATATGATTTAACAGATGTTTTGAATTTATTTAAGGGTAATTCCAGTATATCCTTTGGTATCTTATTGTAAATTTTTATACCTATTCCCATAAAAGACCTATTAACTTTTTCTAAACGATACTTGGGGACAGCAAGTTTGTCTTTAAATCTAGTATTAATATTATGAATATTGCTGTGTTTTGGAAATAAGTCAAGATTTTTAGAAACATATAGGATATTTGAATATATAAATTGAGAAGCAACGGTGAGAATATTTGCTTCTTTGAATTTCTCTCTTAATGAGTCACGACTCTTCATACAGTAGATCGCTCGAATGGCACGTTTTTGGAATATATTTTTAATATCTGCTGCTTTTCGCCATAATAATATTCCATAAGCGAGTAAACTATGAAAATAACTAAAATAAACTAATCTGGCAGTATCAGTATCAGTGTACTGTCTAACCTTACGCATGTAAATGTTCACATCGATATTGTCGAAAAATCTGATATTTTATATTAAAAGAAGGTAGTTTCATTATTACTCGGTATCGTTAAACTAGTTGCATATAACCCCCACTCATATCTTCTCTGTATAAAAGGGAGGGTTTTTGTAGGCCGCGGCATTCGGTCTTTGAGCACAGGATGTGCTGGTTGTATTTTAATTGCTAAAGTGAATTGTGTTAGAGACATAGTTAAATCAATGTTATATAGTCGTTATTTTATTATAATTAATACTTTTACTAGTACATAGAGTTGATATATTTTACACGCATATAGAATCGAATACAACATTTTATATTCAATATTAGAAATAAATTTAAATTTAAGTACTATTGAATATTATGGCAGTCCTCCACGATGCAGTTTTCTAGAAACTTTTCGCCACGCCCAACCACATTGTGGTATCAGCTTCCAGCAATGGTATTTCCGAACCGATACGATATTGAAACCTTAATAACGTATAATATATCTTTTAGTTTGTAATAATAAGATCTATTGCAAGCTGTGATCATAAATAATTAATAATGGTAAAATCAACTACTAAACCAGTTCCACGTAAAGATATATTTATTAAAAATTTAATCAATGTCATTTACTGGTAGACTATTTTTTGTAGACTTAATCTAATTATAATGTTTAAATAAAAAAATAAATTAGAATATACGTTATAGAGTTATAGATAAGAAACCATCAGCTGTTGTCGACCTACTACATTGTAAACTCATAATGAAATATCCAGTATTCACACAAATATAGCGCTATTAAATATCTTTCAAGGTTGTATTTTAAATCCTCGAAACTAGATATAAAACGAAAACGTTTCTCTGCTGAAAACTAAATCTTTAGTAAATTTTAATTTTGAAAATACATAGTAATATATTTATATAACAAAATATCGAATTCTATAATATAGATAATTCAAGAAGAGAGGTGATTTAATTTTATAAGTGTGGTATACCCCGCGAGCGTGTCTGCGAGGCGCTGCACTGGAGCCTTGGAGGCCTGCGCGTCCTCGACGAGGCGCACTATCTGCGCGAGGGTGCTGGCGTCCCCGGTGTGCGTGGCCTCCATCACCAGCGCGCCGTGCTGGTTCACGCTGCCGCCGATCACCACGCTATCTGCAACCGACACCGCACCTCTCACTTGCGAGTCACTCTCATATGTCTTCATGATTACCCCGAGACTACCCCAAGTTAGAGGGGGAAGGGGATACTTAGTACATAATGTGGACTGACCCCATTGCTAGCAATGTACCATGTCAGGTTGACCTCCACGCGGTTCTCTCTGGAAAGCATCATGATAAATTCTTGGTGAATATGTCACGATGGGCTAACTGACCTGACCTCATGCTCATCTTATCATCCTCCACTGGTGGCCCGCCAGCGTAGACCGTTAGCGCAGGCGGGTGCACCATTCCATAAAGATCTATACCCCAAGTTAGAGGAATTGGTCATTCGATTCGGCACGTGACATGCCCAAAAGCATCGTTAAAATGTTTGACTCCAGCGTCTACCACGTTGAAGTCAAATATTTTTAGTGATACTTTTGGGTAGGGAAGCGAGTTTACCGCATACTGTATCTATACGGGTGAAATACAAAAAAAGTTCATTTCTTTTAACAATTAAAATACGCAATAGCGTAGTAAGCATAAAAATGCTGTGTCAAGTTCCATGTGATTCTTCCTAATCCCATTTATTTGTGGTCGTCGTAATATGTTTTTCTCTTCCATTCATCCCTGTTCGCAGTCATCTCGTTATTTACTCCCTTTACCATATCATCTTTCACACAGTCCATCCATCTCTTTTTCGGCCTTCCTCTGCCCTTATAACCATCCACTTCTCAATATATTTATGAAAACATCATGTATGTCAGGAAGAATATAGACAGTTTCAAAAGAGTTAGTGATTGCACTAATAAAAGCTTACGTAACAATAACAAACTGATTTTACCTAAATGTCGTTTGGCTAAAGTTAGTAATTCGTTTTATGGCAATTGCGTAAGGTTTTACAATAAAATACCAGAGTCTGTTATAAATCTGCCAGAAAAAAGATTTAAATGTCAAATAAAACACTTCCTTTGCAAAAAAGCTTACTATAAAATTGAAGAATTCGTTAACGATAATAATGTTTTTGTAGAAAAATTTTAAATACATAGCACTGATAATATTATCTGATTACACTAATAATGAGTGCGTAGCGATTTCTATGTTGATTGTCGCATGCCTCTTACTTGTTACACTGTAATTATTTATATAAAAAAACATCTATCAAAAAGAGCAACACACAAGTTTCTTGCTCATTCTTCTTGTGATGAATCTGCATTCCGAATGAGTGGTAGAATCAAAATATTATATATACTATTCAAAAGTGCTTGTAATGAGTTTATTTGAATAAAGATTATTTCTATATCTATTTCTATTTCCACATTCATATGTACTATGCAGGTCAAGTTCCATATATGTTTTTGAAAAAAAATTAATCATCATAAATAAACTTATATAATACGCATTTTGTACGAACGTATAATGAAGAATTGGCTTGTGTGTCTGTGTGCGTGGACGCATATATGTGTATGTACATATATACACTCCATATAGCCGCTGTTTTCTATCACTAGAGACAAGAAACTTCAATAATAATATTTCTTTATCAATAACTAGCTATTCGCCCCGGCTTCGTATGGGTGTACACACATATATTATACATATGAACCATCATCATCTGCTTCATCCTTATCCCATTTATTTGGGGTCGGCGTAATATGTTTTTCGCTTCCATTCATCCCTGTTCGCAGTCATCGCGTTATTTAATTCCTTTCTTACCATATCATCTTTCACACAGTCCTCTTGAATCACTATCTATTAAAAAAACCGCTTCAAAATCCGTTGCGTAGTTTTAAAGATTTAAGCATACATAGGGACGGACTGACAGCGACTTTGTTTCATACTATGTAATGATAGTGATAATTCTTTTTCTGGAACGTGACCCGTAGCTAACAAAGTGATTAAGTATGCTAATTGTGAGGTGTGTTCAAACGGGACCTTTAGTCTTGGCTACAGGCATGGACTCGCCGGTGATGAGTGACTCGTCACACGTGCTCTGTCCGGACAACACGCGCCCGTCCACCGGTACCTTAGCTCCAGGGATCACCTGACAAAACACGAACAATATTTTAAGCATTACACCACTATAGCAAATGAAAACATGACTGTTGAAAATCATTTAAATTAGTCCAGGTTATTACTTCAACTAGTTCTTTATTTATAGCACAGAAATGAGAAACAATAGTCTAACTGATATAAAATGGTAATCTTCACCTTCATAAAATAATTGACACATAAATATACAATTTAACAGAAGTATTTACTTATAAGTTTAAATAGTTACGATAAATATTAGTTATATGTTATTATTAACTAGCCACCCACCCGACTTCGCATGGGTGTACATGTATTATACATATAAACCTTCCTCTTGAATCACTCTATTAAAAAAATCCGCTTCAAAATCCGTTGCGTAGTTTTAAAGATTTAAGCATACATAGGGACGGACAGACAGCGACAGCGACTTTGTTTTATACTATGTAATGATTGAAAAATGAAAAAAATGTTTATTTCTTTAAAAACAATTCAGTTCCAATAATATAGTGTTGGGATGACCTAGTAAGCATGGAAATGCCATGAAAACTGTCAGGTACATCCCGCTCTTCCATATACATTGTCATGTTTTTTTTTTTTAGAAGATGATGATTCTGTTCATCAGACTTTAAGCAACGCATCCTTTAGACAGAAAAGACTCCAATCAAAGGTCTCCAAGCTTTCTAATATCATCATACCATATTTTGTAGTGCCTTCCTCTTTTTCGCTCTTTTACAGCAGCTTCCTCTTTTTCTTTTTTTTTATATACAGAGAATCTATATACTGTTATATATAGATTCTCTGTATATAAAAAAAAAGAATTAAAATAAAACTAATTACGTAAAAAGCTTTAAATTGTCTAAAATATAAAATTACGGTTTAATAAATCGGTATCGCAGCTACAGCTGGTAACATTAATAGAAAATTTGACATTTACACCTGTCAATTTAGGCTTCGAGGTTAAAAAAAACAGAGTTCAGTTACTTTGAGCACGTCCCCCCTCTCGACGAGGTCGACGGGCACGCCCCTCTCCTTGATGACGTTCCCGTCCTCGTCGAGGGTCACCAGCAGCGCCTCCGTCGGCTTCAGCGACAGCAGCTTTGACAGCGCCTCTGATGTTTTACCCTGAAACATTTATACATTAACTGACCCTCGGCACTTTGTTTGCATCACACTAAATTGACATTTATCATTATTTCGCACAATTTACATAATATTCTTATAAATTATAGCCTACTAGCTACTCGCCACGGCTTCGCACGGGTGTAAATGTATTATATATATATCAAATTCAAAATATCTCTATTCGTGTAGGTCTATTACAGACTTGTGATATAGTGATGCAAATCAGCACGTTCGATAGTAGATTGTGCCAGTGTACGTTTTATATAACGACACGTAGGTCACGCAGTACCTCATATATATAGTTTATGTAATTAGTGTAAGCTAGAGTAATTCAAGATGGAACAGTTAATATACAAGTTACACCCTACTGTGTGTGTTTACTCTCACCACCGCTCCTGTCATCACAGACTCTTATGATATGTCAAATCTACCGTCAGTTCGGAATGATATCGAGATGAGAAGAACTGACTCGTATTTTTTTCAAATAATAGTGGAACATGTTTATAATAAATATAGTTTTTAAAATTCAAATTTGAGAGAATAGAGTGACCACCAGCATATGCTATCGCAAAGAACAAAAAATTTAATCAGTGTTCGCAACCTGAACAGACCAGTCCCCACAAGCAGCACCCGATCACGAGTATGACGGATGAGTCAGCCATCATTGCACTCAACCATATTAGAGGGAGCACATCGACCCGGCCCACCACGCCGCCACAAGTTCGAACTTTATAGCGAGCATGACTGTTTCAAGTTACTCCACTACGTCATTTATATTATTTATAATATAAATGACGTAGTGGAGTAATTGGAGTAACTAGTGGGCCGGGTCGATGTGCTCCCTCTAATATGGTTGAGTGCATTTATATTATAAATAATATAAATGACGTAGTGGAGTAACTTGAAACAGTCATGCTCGCTATAAAGTTCGAACTTGTGGCGGCGTGGTGGGCCGGGTCGATGTGCTCCCTCTAATATGGTTGAGTGCAATGATGGCTGACTCATCCGCCATACTCGTGATCGGGTGCTGCTTGTGGGGACTGGTCTGTTCAGGTTGTGAACACTGATTAAATTTTTTGTACCAATCACAGTTTTCACCCATTACAATATTTACATTACATTACAATAGTACCTTAGCAATATTCTCGAGCCAGCGTCCGAGTGAGACAAACACGAGCAGCATGGGCGGCGTGTCAAAGAAGGTCATAGGACTTATGTCCTGCTGCATCGCCATTGCCGCTATCACCACGGCCAGAGAGTACAAATAGCTGAAACAATCACATCACAATGACAAATTTCTTTCTTGCTAGCTCTTTCCAGGGTGCTTAGAAGAATTGACAAGAAACTCAACTCTTATACGTTTCTGTTAGACCTACAATGAGAATCACTGGCAGTAGAATAGAAAATCATTTATTCAAATAAACTTACATTGAAGCACTTTTGAATAGTCATTACATTTTTTTAATCTACCGCTCATTCGACAAGCTGTTTTATCACAAGAAGAACGAGCAAGAAACTTGCGTGTTGCTCTTTTAAATAATTTTATTATTACTTTTGTTAAAGTTGATATCGATGCGAAATAAAAATACAGCGCTTTGTAGGAAGGTGTGTAATGGAATGAAATGATGGATGCAATTACAGAGATCGCAATATGCACGTAACACAGAAACTAGACGACGCGCGCCCCGCTCCCCGCCTCACCGCATCAGGAACCAGTTATTATTTATATTGTATTACGGTGAGGCGTTAACATACTGGGCCCCCTTGAAAGCTGGTCTTTCAAGGACTCAAGTGTCGCATCTTGATTCTTCCAGGCAACATACTTTAGAAACGGCTCTTCTCAGGATGCCCTTTTTTGTGATTACATCAATCACTCTCGTGATGCCATCTGATCCAGGATAGAGCTTTACAACACGACCAAGCAGCCATTTCATAGGTGGAAGTTGTTCATCTTTAATTATAACCAAGTCATCTGGTTTTATTTCTTGACATTTTGTACGCCATTTCACTCGTTCTTGTAATTCAGACAGGAATTCCTTGGACCACCTTTGCCAGAAGTGTTGTCGCAATTTTTCAATAAGCTGGTATCGTGTGACATTGTTCCTTTCTATAACTGGTGAAGGTAATGAAGTCAACGGACGACCAATTAGAAAATGCCCAGGAGTTAAAGGAGATAAATCTGATGGGTCCGATGATAGTGCAGTCAACGGACGAGAATTTAATATTGCCTCAATTTGTGCGAAAACGGTAGTAATTTCCTCAAAGGTTAAATTTGCATTGCCTATTACACGCTTTAGGTGAAATTTTGCCATTTTTACGCTGGACTCCCATATACCCCCAAAGTTAGGCGAGTAAGGCGGTGAAAATTTGAAATTAATGCCTTCTTTACATGAGAATTGGCTTACATCATTATTTGCCCTTGCTAAAAGTCTAACTAACTCTCCATTCGCTCCTACAAAATTTTTACCATTGTCGCAGTATATTGTGTGTGGTTTTCCGCGACGTGATATGAACCGCCGCAAACAAAGTAAAAATGCCTGAGTGCTTAAGTCGGTAACAACTTCTAAATGCAAAGCTTTAGTGGCGAAGCATACAAATATACACAAGTATCCCTTCGTAGTTTTTGCGCCTCTACCCTTGCGGTTCAATATATAAAATGGCCCTGCAAAATCTGTACCACAGGTTTCAAATGGGAGCGCTGGAGTAACTCGTGAGCTTGGTAAACTTCCCATGAGAGGCTGTAAGGATTGTGCCTTGAAGCGTTTACAAGTCATGCATTTATTTACTGTCTTTGTAGCCAATTTTCGTCCGCCTAACGGCCAAAATTGTTCGCGGATCGAGCTTAATAAAAGTTGAGGACCGCAATGAAGCAATCGAAGATGCTCCCTTTCAAAAAGTAACTTTGTAAATTGATGATGAGGGTCAATTAATATGGGGTGTCTTTTTCCGTAGGTACATTGTAACGCATTTTGTATCCGTCCACCGACACGTAAAATGCCGGAAGAATCCATAAAAGGATTTAACGAAATAATGTTGGACGTTTTTGAAAGTGTTTTGTCTTTAGAAAGAATATTTATTTCATTAAAAAAGGAATCCTTTTGAGAGTGTTTGGCAATGGTAAGTAAAGATTCATATACTTCTTTATTAGTTAGTACCCCTGTCAACTTATTTTCAATATTTTTACAATTGTATAAAAATCTATGAATATATGCAACAACTCTCTGTAATTTGTATAACTTTGAAAATTTATTAAAAGGTATTATATTTTCGATAATTTCTTCATTTTGTACTAATAAAATTCTTTTTGTTTCAGGTACCGACGTGAGATTATTTGTACTATCTACTGGCCAATTTGTTTCAGGTTCATACAAGAATGAAGGACCCTCCCACCACAACGAAGATGTAATAAGCTGCTGTGGCGAGACTCCTCTAGAAGCTAAATCGGCGGGATTTAAATGGGTAGGTACATGCCTCCATGCATTTTGATCAGTAAGTTTTCTTATCTCTTCGATACGATTACAGACGTATGTTTTTAGTGTTTTAGGTGGCGATTTTAGCCAAATCAAAACAATAGTGGAGTCACACCAAAAAAATGACTTAGATATTTTTGCTTTCAGAGAACTTATAACTTTAGAATATAAACGTGCGCCTAGAAGAGCTCCTAGTAGTTCAAGCCGAGGGATAGTAAGTTCGGGTTTAATTGGAGCTACTTTAGCCTTAGCGCAAAGTAATTTGATATCAGTAATGCCAGTTGTATTATTGTGTGACTTTAAATATATGCAAGCACCGTATGATGTTTGTGACGCGTCAGTAAAACAATGAAGTGTAATGTTTGTGGGCTGTTCGCACATTACGTATCTTGGTATTTCAAAATCATAAAATGTTGACAAATTGTGAGAAAATTCTAACCATTTCTCTTTTATTACGTCTGGAACAGGTTCATCCCACTCCAATTTCGAAAGCCATAACTTTTGTAAAAGTATTTTAGGTATTATTGTACATGCAGAAAGTAGACCTAAGGGATCAAAAACCTTACATGATGTAGATAAAATAGTTCGTTTAGTTACATTTGTATCAATATTTAACTGTGTATAAAATTTTAATTTGTCGGTACTTGGTTGCCATTTTAATCCTAGTATGGAACTTTCCTTACAAAAATCCTGTGTTTGATCAATTGGAGTAATTTCTTTTAATAAATCAGGGACATTGGACCGAAATTTGTGTAATGAGAAACAGCCCTGATTTAATTTTTGCACTACTGCCTGCACCGATTTAGCTAATATTGATTTTGATGAGCTTCCCGTAATCAAATCGTCGACATAAAAATCATGTTTTATAACATCAGCAACAACTGGGTCAGTGCATTCTTCAGCTAGCTGAAGTAAGCATCTGGTACTGAGAAATGACGCAGCGGCTGTTCCATATGTTACAGTATTAAGTTGTAAAGTTTTTAAAGGAATTCGATCATTATCTCTCCACAAAATTAATTGTAAATGTCGCTGCGAGTGGTCAATTTCGATTTGACGATACATTTTTGTAATATCTGCCGTAACGACATATTTATTGTATCTAAATCGCAATAAAATAGACAATAAGTCGTCTTGCACAACTGGACCTATCATCATTAAATCGTTTAGCGATTTACCTGTATCTGTTTTAAACGATGCATTAAATACTACTCTAAGTCGGGTTGTCTCACTGTTTTCACGTATAACCGCGTGATGTGGAATAAAATATCCGAACTTAGGTCGTTCTATCTGTGACAAGTGTCCCAAACTCTCATATTCCTGTATGAAGTTGGAATAGTCTATTTTGTGACCATTTCTTGCCAATCTTTTTTCTAAATTGTAAAAGCGTTTTCTAGCTATACTGTGTGATCCACCTAAAACGTTTTCGGGTGGTTCGCGAAAGGGAATTGTAACCGAGAACCTACCTGAAGGCAAACGTTTAGTATATTGTATAAAGTGGTTTTCACAATATTCTTCTTCCTTCGATAATATTTTTGTATTAGATTGTAATTCTTCTACTTCCCAGAATTTAGCTAAAGATTCTTTTATTTCTTTTGTAAAATGGCAATGAACTTTTGGAGTTGAAGAGTATGGATTACCACCAGTGGGGCCAGCAACAAGCCAACCAAATTTCGACTCCTGTAAAGTAGGATTATTTTTACCCAACTTAATTTGATTTGGCATAATTAAGTCCCAATAAATGTCTGCTCCTAATAAGAGGTCGATTTCAGATGGACAGAAAAATTTTGTGTCAGCTAATTGTATATTGGATGGCATATTTAGTTTAGCAACATCTACTAATACACTTGGCAATTTATTTGTAATATGTGGGATTACTAAACAGTCTACTTTTACTTGAAATGAATTTACGCAAGATTTCAGAAGCAAGTTACAACATTCAACTGAGTTAGTCATGCAGTTGTTCACCCCTAAAATCGGTATATTAGTTTTTCTACAGAGAATATTAACTTTGTTTTTTATTTTTTCAGATACGAAGGAAGACTGACTACCGCTGTCGAGGAGAGCCTTCACTAGGTGAGTTTTGTTATTTATCGTGTCTACTACCTCTATTTCAGCTGTGCATAATAACACCTGACCTGAAACAGAGGCAGAAAGAGAGACTTGCGACTCACGTGGCAAGAAGGAAGAACTAGTCGTTGATTCCGCAGGTAAGTTATCTTTGTTAGTATTTTCATTGCGATGTAATAATGAATTGTGTTTTTTGTTACAGATTTTGCAAGCACTTAAGCGGCAACGAGAATGGTGATGGCCAGGACGCAGACAGTTTTTACAGAGTTTGTATTTACTAATTGTAGTTGTTTTGCTATCCATAGACATATTTTTGAACTGTTCACACTCGTATAATAAATGATTACTATTGCAAACAACACAATTTCTTTTATTTGTAGCTACCGAGGACGTAACAAAGGACCTTGTAGGTTTGTTTTCTTTGTAAGTATTATGTCTTTCAAGTTTAATTGAATCAGTACGACCGTGTTGTATGGTTTCTAAAATATTAGCTCGACTACGTAAAAATTCAAAGAAATCAGCTAACGTAGGTGACAGATCCAATGAATTACGATGCTCCTCCCATTTGCGACCTGTGGCAGGATCCAGCTTCGAAGTCATAATATAGATAACCAAAGTATCCCAAAATTGAACAGGTTCTTTTAATTCCTCCAAGGATCTCAAGTTTTTTGTGTAATAATCTACCATATAACGTAGGGATTTGTGTGATTCTTTTCCTAATGCATCAAAACTAAATAAACATTTAATATGATTGTTTATTAATATAACTTTATTATTGAATCTATCACAAAGAATATTCCATGCTAAATCATAATTGCTAGAGGTGAAATTGATGGACTTAATAACAATACTTGCACTACCCTCTAGTGACGAACGCAAGTAATGAAATTTATTGATTTTCGGGATGGAGTCGTTGTTGTGAATGAGAGACTCGAAGGTATCTCTGTATTCTAGCCATTTCAGGTTATTTCCGTCAAAGGAGGGTAGCTTGATGGTCGGAAGTCTAATATTACACATGCTGTACTCATTGTTAGTTTTTATAGAATTATCTGAGCCTTGAGAGGGAGGTCTATCGGATTTACAAACTGACTCCAAGATGTCCTGTGCTATAGCGATTGATTTACAGAATGAGCTTTCGATAGTGTCGCGTTCCTCTAATTGTGGGGATATATTGTCAGACGTGAGAAGCTCAATTTTATTTTGTATGTCGTCAAAAGAAGAGAATAATTCCTGTAACCGAGATAATTTTAACTGAAGCTCGTTTATTTGTAGCTTTGCTAGTGTTTTTGGATCGACAAGTTTTACAATGTCTATATATTTTTGAAATATAGTAATTCTAGCTTTTATATTACTTCGTAGTTGTGTATATTCTTTTAACTCCTTGCCGTCTGCCATTATAAATTGTAAATTTAGCAGATTTGCAAAAAAAAATGCGATTGGAGAGTTAGCAAAACACAAACAACAAAAAAAAAACAAATAATAATAAATGAAATTAAAAAGAAAATAGATGTAAATTTCAAACCGTAAGTCACTAAGTATGAGTGGACTGGCAAATACTCAGATATGATGCAAGCGAAGTCAAACGGCCGCGTCAGCACTCAACCAACAGCGCGGCAGGTGGCGCAGGGAATTTGTCAACAATAAGGCGCAGTAAGACGAACTACCTGATGTAGTTCGTCTTACTGCGCCCATACAATGATTGTCGCCGATTACAAAAACCTGGAATTTACCATAGTACTAGCTTATATAATTGTATTGAAATGTTTTGTATTTATTGTAAATTAATTTTAGTAAAAATTTACACTATATATATAGGTAATAAACCAATTACACACAAATCTTGTATATTGTAAGGCCTGTATGAGTAGGTATTTGCTTGATTTTAAGGTAGATTAATATTTATGTATTGTATTTACACAATAAATGATTATCGTTATTTATTTTTACTAATATACCAATTGCTTATTACGTAGCAATATCCTATTTTAGTTATATTTCGCAATTTTGTAATGATATACTATAATTTTAATGAATTTTAATTGTAACTTTTGAAAATATAAATATGTATTTTAGAAATATATTCAATTGTACCCAAATAACACGATTGTTACTTAATTTTATCTTAAATAGTCACAAAACTAAAAAAATGTAGTTTTTAATGCTAAAATATGTGGGTGTTAATATTAACAAAATGGTGCAAGCGCGTTCGGTTTTACACTATAGTGATATTAAATACAAATAACTAAGTACGTACCTATTGAGGCAATATTAACTTGTACTGAAATTTAAAACACTAATTATGTAATTATAAATACTCAAACTGGACATAACTTCCCTTTTGATAGCGTCGATAACCACAAATTTCGTTCAATGCACACAATAGGCCGGTAATTGCGTAGTTGATTATTGCAATTTCTTATTTTTCAAATCTCCGTCAGCTCGTCGCGTCGTAATTGTTTATTTAGATGCTTGATTGAATATTAAAACCTTCGTCAGCCTGCACCGAGTCCAGAATATCACGTCGGGGTCACCAAATGTTAAAGTTGATATCGATGCGAAATAAAAATACAGCGCTTTGTAGGAAGGTGTGTAATGGAATGAAATGATGGATGCAATTACAGAGATCGCAATATGCACGTAACACAGAAACTAGACGACGCGCGCCCCGCTCCCCGCCTCACCGCATCAGGAACCAGTTATTATTTATATTGTATTACGGTGAGGCGTTAACACTTTACATTATTAAGTTTAAGTGTGTGAATACAAATCACCAATTAGCACTAATTCAATTAAATATTCAAATAGAAAAAATATTGAATATTTAACCAACTGGTTAAACAATTAATAAGAGGAAATCAGTCGTAGTGATTAGAGCAGACCAGTCCCTACAAGCAGCACCCGTTCACAAGTATGACGGATAAGCCAGCCATCACTGCGCTCGACCATATTTTAGCCCAATGACCCGGCCCACCACGCCGCCACAAGTCTGGACATTTTAATGAGCATGACTACTCAAAACACTAGACCACGTCATAGCAATTACAATTGCCATTGATGCATTCACTTCCCTCACAAAACATAAAACCGTCCACGAGTATGACGGACGAGTCAGTAATAATAACATATTTTTTTACGCAATTTTGACGACACTTTACAGTAATAATTTTTATGCATCAGAATAACACGTAGGCTACAAACTTCATGTAATAGTAGTGCTGGCGCGTCTTCTAAAATCTTAAAAAAAAAAGTTTGTAAGCCGCCGATCGGTCCTAAGAATATCCTTCAATTCTTGTCCCTGACGGGTCTAGGTAGCAAACTTTGAAAAAGGGCGAGCACAATAGATCTATGTAGGTCGCTAATCTCTGAAATGGCTGGACCGATTTTGACAGGACTTTTATTGGCAGGTAGCTGATGTAATAAGGTGTAACCTAGGCTACTTTTATTTTAGAAAAATAAAGTTAAATTCCACGCGGACGAAGTTGCGTGTACAGCTAGTCTGTTATAAAACTGTTTTCTGCAAATAACTTAACAGCTCACCTGATGCTGGTGGTCATGGCGACGAGCACATCCATGTTGGAGGTGCCGTGGCTGAGTGCCTTGTACGCCTGCTTGTAGAACGGCCACCCACCAATGAACTGTAACAAACACACGTCCATTTATACTATATATGTATTTAGAAAGCAAATATATGTATTTGCAAAGCAAGTAGTTCGTATTTCTATCAGTAGTCTAGTACCCATAACACATGCTTTGCCTAGCTTCAGAATAGATGGCGCTGTGTAAATGGTCCTGAGTCAATATATAGGAAGAAAAAAAAGATAAAATAGTATAGAAATATAGTATTAATACATTTAATAAATCAGGACAAGTCACACAGTCACAAGTCACACAAAACAATTATAAGACCCGTTCTTATGTATGGCAGTGAAATATGGCCCGTAACCCAAAAGAACGTGCATACCATCCAAGTTGCCGAAATGAAGATGCTGAGGTGGATGTGCGGTATAACCAGGCTCGATAAAATCCGCAACGAGTACGTACGAGGAAGCCTGGCTGTTCGCGACATTGCTGAAAAAATGCAGGAAAGTAGGCTGCGATGGTATGGACACGTGAAGAGAAAGCCGCCTGATTACGTCGGAAACCTGGCACTGCAACTTTCTATTCCTGGTCGAAGGGGCAGAGGCAGACCAAGGAAGGGATGGGAAGATGTTGTTATTAGGGACATGATAGAGTGTGAGGTCTCTGAAGACGATGTCCGGGACAGGATAAAGTGGCGGACAAAAATAGGGAAAGCTGACCCCACCACCATGTGGGATATATAGCCAGGAAGAGAGAGAGAGAGGACAAGTCACACAGCGCCATCTAGTTCCTCGGTAAACAGAGCTCGTGTTATGGGTACTAGACAACTGATACAAATACTTAGATATATATTTTTTGTAAATAGGGGCTGTTCAAGTATTACGTAAGCAGATTTATCACAATTATTTACCCCTCCCCCCATGCTTACGTAAACATTTCTCAATTAATGTATTGTTTTTTTAACAAAGACAATGTGAGGGTTGCCATTCGTGTAAAAAAGTAAATTACGACCGATGACGTAATCATCATACAGACTCCCCCACCCCCATGTCATCCAAAATAAGCAAAGAAAAGACCCCCCGCCCCCCTATAGTGCTTACGTAATACTTGAACGGCCCCATATATACATCATATAAAGCACTCAGACTGATATTAACAATCATACTACTGAATACAGAAACGGTGCAAACCGTGTGCCGAATCGATGCCGCGCCTATCGAAAATCTGTCTGCCGGTTTTAAATGTTTTTCTTTCTTCTTTCAATAACAAATTGAAAGAAGAAAGAAAGAAAAACCATTTATTGACAACCATTATTGATAGGAACATACATTTACACATTTTGACATTTGTACATACAACATACATATATATGGACACATAGACACACACATACATACGTAGAACAATTACCAAAAAAACATCTATAATATTTATATACAATGGTTGCCGGTTATATACAATGGATGACACTCAGCATTTGCCATGACAGCTAGCTGTCACGGCGCTGATATTCTGTGCCTGCCATTAGTGACAGGCGCGGAATACCAGCTGCTACCAGCTACTACAGAGTTATTGCTAATCTCTGAATCGGCTGGATAGCTTTTAACGGGTCTTTAACACAGAAAGCTAATGTTAAAAGGAGTAACTTAGGCTACTTTTAATTTAGAAAATTTTAAAATCCACGTGGACAAAATCAAAAGTAACAGCTAGTTAATATTATAACGAGGTAGGGTTGACTCCGTGATATTTCCACTAGGACTAAATCGCAGTCAACAGCTAGTTATAACAAACAACTACAAATGCATGGTTGAGTCGACCCCGTAATTCCACGCGGACAAAGTCGCAGGTGGGAGCTAGTGAAGAATACCTGTACTGGCGTGGCCAGGAGGAACATGACGAGGTTCTCGAGGCTGAGCCCCGGCAGCACGCAGCACATGTCGCGCGCGGAGTGGTGCGACATCATGCTCATGAAGTACACCATCGCGGCCATGCACGGCGCGCCGAACACCAGCGACACCAGGAACGTGTTCCGCCAGCGCCTGATCTCCTCTCTAAAAAAAAAATTAAAAAAATTACCTAAATGTCCTCTATCTATATACTTAATAATATTAAAAAGCTGAAGAGTTTGTTTGAACGCGTTAATCTGAGGAACTACTGGTTCAAATTGAAAAAAAATTTTAGTGTTGGATAGTCCATTTGTCGAGGAAGGCTTTAAGCTATATAACATTTTCAAATTCAAGTTCAAAATATCTCTATACATATAGGTGTATTACAGACTCTTATGATATATCAAATCTACCGTCAGTTCGGAATGATTTCGAGGTGAGAAGAACTGACAAGAAACTCAGCTCGTATTCTTTTTAAATAAATGTTTACAATAATTCAAATTTAGGAGAATAGAGTGACAACATATGCTATTGAAAAAACAATAAATCTAATCAGTGTTCGCAACCTACAGACCAGTCCCCAATCACCCGTTCACGAGTATGACGGCTACGACCAATAGAAACGAAGCATCAGTGATTGTTTGAGTGTTGCAAAAAAGGGGAAAATTATTCCTATTTGAGGGCTTCCGTTGCGAGAGCTGCGCAAAAGTCTCGAGCGCAGAGAGTTAAAAAGTCATCATCATCATTTCAGCCAGGAAGACGTCCACTGCTGAACAAAGACCTCCCCCAAGAATTTCCATGACGATCGGTCCTTCGCTGCTCGTATCCAACGCCTTCCAGCACTCTTGCAGTGATGCAGCAGTGATGGTGTGATCAGGAGTGATTCACGAGTGTGACGGATGAGCCACCGTCATACTCGTGAAACGAGTGCTGCTTGTAGGGACTGGTCTGCTCTTATCACTACGACTGATTTAATCTTATTGCATATTTATATTTGACCCAAAAATGAGTGCTTGTTGGTAGTTTGTATTCACACGTTTCGACTTGTAAATGTAAACTTACAAGGATTATTTAAAAGAGCAACACACAAGTTTCTTGCTCGTTCTTCTTGTGATGAGACAGCTTTCCGAACGAGTGGTAGATAAAAAACAAATTGTTATGACTATTCAAAAGTGCTTAAATTAAGTTTATTTGAATAAATGATTTTCTATTCTATTCTATTCTATTCTTGACCAGATCGTCGGTCCACCATGTCGGATGCCTTCCCACGCTGCGGTCTTCCAATCCGCGATCACGGTCGAAATAAAATTCAAAAATCATTTATTCATATATTTTAGCCGCTTATGAACGTAATTTTTTTTATAGTATAATTTTACCACTACCATCCGTTAGAATAAAAAGTAACAAACAAAAATAAATATTCATCAAATCGGTTTAACTTTTAACAAAATCAAATCAAATTGTCTTTATTCAGGTCTATTACAGACTATTATTTATTTATTCATAGCCTTTATTCTGATATGCAAGTAAACAAGTAAATTTTATTCTTGTTTATATGAAGAAAGAAAGAAAGAAAAACATTTATTTACAACCATTATTGGTATGAACATACATTTACACATTTTTATATTGGTACATATAACACACACACATATATATATATACAGATTCATTCTTTAAATTATTTTATTGCCATATTAAATGAAGTCCCCCTGTATATACCTATATACAGGAGGACTTTTTTGACAGCGTGTTTATACTGACTTGTGCTCGAGGTAGTCTGCAGCGCCCCTGTGCGGGCCGGTGACGACGCTGGCATCGAACCCCAGGCCCGTGATGGCCTCGCATATACTGCGGGGGCCTATCTGCTCCACGTTGTACCTTATCTTACCCCTGCAAGAGACAAGTTTATTTTGTCACTCAATCTCACCCTATACATACATACTTAACCTTATTTTGTTACTCAACAATTTCTATTTTGTTTCTGAACATTCCTTTACTTATATTAATTTTGTCATTATTTAATCATCGGAAAATAGGCAATATCCTAAACCACTACACTACTAATCATGTATATTAATAATATAATAGTTTTTCTTATAATAAAAACTATATTTTATGTCCAGACATCGATCACTTACATTTTAATTATATGAACGAGGGAACAAACTTGGAGGTGGTGCATGCGCACTGAATAGCAAATAGATTATTTATCTACCTATCTATAATTTTTTTATACCACGTACGTGGCAAACAAGCATACAGCCCAACTGATGGTAAACGGTTACCGTAGCCTATGGACGCCATTTCATATAATTGTATATGCAGTGTAAGAATTCATAATGTGTATTGTTACATTATGAATTCTTACATTGCACAATGTAATGAAAACAGTGAAATTAGTAGTAGTGTAAGATTTATATAATTGTATATGCATATTGGTAAATGTAACTGGCTCCTAATAAAGATAGGTGACACTGCATGTTGTCAACTCACCCGGCCGGCGGCCAGCGGTGGTTCTGGGCCAGACGGATAAGGTCTGCCTCGGTGACACTGTTAGGCAAATTGTAACATCTCGGCTGGAGTTGTACAAAAGTGGAAATTAAAGAAATATAATAATATTAAAGTAAATTAAAAAAGGCACGGACGAATATGTCTGTGGAAAATTGTATTTACAAAAAAAAAAAATAATAATAAAAAAAAAAAAGCCTTAGGACGCCTGAAACACCAGGGGTGTCACTTGCGCGTTGCCGACCCTTAACACGATAAAGACCACATTGAAAAATCTTACTTCTCACACAAAGCCGGGATTTTTTTATTCTTAATTACTTATATTATAATTTAAATATCTTTTTTGTGTACAATAATTTGAGGTAGATAATATTTTACCAATAGATTGATTTCAATTAAAAAGCCAACGGGTGATCACCCGGTCCCAACGTGATAAGAATCAATCTATACTATGTATGGAGGGTTACGTTATTAAATGAAGGGGTACGACTATCATCTTATAGAGGGCTTTTTATCAAATGGAGGGGTACAACTATCATCTTATAGAGGGTTTTTTATCAAATGGAGGGGTACAACTATCATCTTATAGAGGGTTTTTTATCAAATGGAGGGGTACAACTATCACCTTATAGCGGGTTTTTATCAAATGGAGGGGTACAACTATCATCTTATAGAGGGTTTTTTATCAAATGGAGGGGTACAACTATCACCATATAGAGGGAGGGGTATAACTATCATAGTATAGAGGATTTTTTCTATTAAATTAAGTGCTACGAACTTGGAGGTAGTAAGTGCTACCGCGCAGGCGCTGACGCCGCTCAGCTTCAGCACCGACTTCTCTATCTTGTTGACGCACGACGCGCACGTCATGCCTTTGATCTGAAAATGGTCACCACCCGATTATTATAGCAGTCATTACACTTGTGTACAAATGATGAGATGGAACCTAACCACTGATTGCAATCAATCTAAAGTGGCAATTCCAAAAACGAACCATCGGTTAACAACACGTCTACTTAATCTAGATAGACATAACCTCAAAATAATGATAGGGATAATAACGGGCCATTGTTCCTTAAACAAACACTTATACAAAATTGATGCTACAGACAGTCCCCTTTGTCGGGGCTGCTTTGAAGCTGAAGAAACGGCGGCTCACGTAATCCTGGAGTGCACGGCAGTGGCCCAACAACGAAAACAAATCCTCGGAACGGTGAGGTCGCTCCGTGAAGCCTGCGAAGACACCAGGAGTCTTCTGCGCTTCTGGGAGGAGCTTGGCTGGCTACTTTAGTAGTCTGGCTCTGCACGCACAACGGCCCGAATGAGAGGCTAATTGCGGAGACTGGAGTCCGACATACATTTACTTGTGTACAAAAAAAAATACCTCTCTTTATATAATACTAGCTGTGTCCGCGACTTTGTTCGCGTGGTTATCAAAAACACTCACGATTATTATGTTTTTAATTTCGACCAACGTTGATTATCAGTTCAAACACATGCATCATTTAAAAATAGACTAAGATCTCATTATCTCTCTTCATAGTACATTTTTTTTTTCTCATTCTTCCAATATGTAGTATATATGTAGGTTTATGAGTGTTTCAGAGTGACCGACATAGCCCGAAGAATTGCGACTTTGAAGTGGCAATGGGCAGGGCACATAGCTCGTAGGACAGATGGCCGTTGGGGCAGTAAAGTCCTCGAGTGGCGACCACGGACCGGAAGACGCAGCGTGGGAAGGCCTCCAGCAAGGTGGACCGACGATCTGGTCAAGATCGCGGGAAGGCATTGGATGCGAGCAGCGCAGGACCGATCGTCGTGGAGATCTTTGGGGGAGGCCTATGTCCAGCAGTGGACGTCTTCCAGGCTGCGATGATGATGATGATGATGATGATGTAGGTTTATATATTTATCCCTAATGTAAGTATGTATATCTAGTAGTATAATAAATAGTGTCTTATGTGTGCCACCTACCCTATTCTATGTACATAAGTCCTCTCTTCTAGGTTGTCAGTAAGAGATTGCATTTAGCGATAAGACCGCCTTTTGTTATTATTTTACTATTTACTGTATTTTCTCATTATTTTATGTGTACACAATAGTTTTATTATTATTATTAAAAAAGGTTATAGGGAGTCAATCTTAAAAGATAGACATATACGGACATTTTTTAGGATCATTTAAAGAGGAATAAGTCTTTCATACATATTTTTTGGGTAACTTGAACCGTTTACGCGGCGCACGCAACAGAAGCCCTCAAATATGAATAATTTTCCTCGTTTTTTGCAACATTTTTCACTAATGCTTCGTTCTATTGGTCGTAGCGTAATGTTATATAGCTTAAAGCCTTCCTCGACAAATGGACTATCCAGCACAAAAATAATTTTTCAATTTGAACCAGTAGTTCCTGAGATTAGCGCATTCAAACAAACAAACAAGTAAACAAACTCTTCAGCTTTATAATATTAAGTATAGATATAATATATGGTTGTTAAAAATGACATTGCGATTGCGGGCCTGAGTTGAAACAGCCCGGTGGCCAGTTGCGGGCTGCGGGCCGTAACTTTGACATGACTGATTTAGACGGTAACGCTGAATATGTGGTGGTACTCACCATGACCACCAGGTCCTTCTGGCCGCTGCCGTCGCCGTCGCTGATGACGTCGGCCGAGAAGCCCAGGTCGGTGATGGAATGCGCTATGGCAGTTGCTGATATAATTGTCGGCTCATACTTGACCTCCGCTTTCGCTGCTAGTAATCCTATGTTTATTGAATGGACACCTGTGGAACACCAATTAAGTAATACATCTAGGGTTGAGAGAGTGGGGCAGTGGGACGTGAGGTCGGACGACCTCCTCGTATGTTCCTGCCATTGGGAAGCTTTATTGAATGGACACCTGTGGAACACCAATTAAGTAATACATCTAGGGTTGAGAGAGTGGGGCAGTGGGACGTGAGGTCGGACAACCTCCTCGTATGTTCCTGCCATTGGGAAGCTTTATTGAATGGACACCTGTGGAACACCAATTAAGTAATACATCTAGGGTTGAGAGAGTGGGGCAGTGGGACGTGAGGTCGGACGACCTCCTCGTATGTTCCTGCCATTGGGAAGCTTTATTGAATGGACACCTGTGGAACACCAATTAAGTAATACATCTAGGCTTGAGAGAGTGAGGCAGTGGCGCGTGAGGTCGGACAACCTCCTCGTATGTTCCTGCCATTGGGAAGCTTTATTGAATGGACACCTGTGGAACACCAATTAAGTAATACATCTAGGGTTGAGAGAGTGGGGCAGTGGGACGTGAGGTCGGACGACCTCCTCGTATGTTCCTGCCATTGGGAAGCTTTATTGAATGGACACCTGTGGAACACCAATTAAGTAATACATCTAGGGTTGAGAGAGTGGGGCAGTGGGACGTGAGGTCGGACGACCTCCTCGTATGTTCCTGCCATTGGGAAGCTTTATTGAATGGACACCTGTGGAACACCAATTAAGTAATACATCTAGGGTTGAGAGAGTGGGGCAGTGGGACGTGAGGTCGGACGACCTCCTCGTATGTTCCTGCCATTGGGAAGCTTTATTGAATGGACACCTGTGGAACACCAATTAAGTAATACATCTAGGGTTGAGAGAGTGGGGCAGTGGGACGTGAGGTCGGACGACCTCCTCGTATGTTCCTGCCATTGGGAAGCTTTATTGAATGGACACCTGTGGAACACCAATTAAGAAATAAATCTAGGCTTGAGAGAGTGAGGCAGTGGCGCGTGAGGTCGGACGACCTCCTCGTATGTTCCTGCCATTGGGAAGCTTCCCCATCCTCGGATACGTCCACTGGGAACGATGGCCGAGCAATGGTTTGGTTCTGGTACGCCGTGCGCAAGTAGATCCTTTGGGGTCGGCCTATTACTAATTTAGGTCAGTATAAATCGCTCTGAAATGCTCTGTATTGATATTCTGAATTTAGCTGATAATTCCAGTAACAAGTAACTTGTTACATTTAAGTTTCCTCCATGCCTCGAATAGCGTTGATCTTAGGTCGTCAGAGAGTCTCCAGTTAACGACACCAAGACATAGCACTACATTCTACGACAAATCGTTTAGTGTGCTAGCTGTTCGTCTTTGGAACGAACTGGCCACATCTGTTCGAAGACTAAAATCACTGCAGAGCTTCAAATTAGGTATCAAAAACCACTATTTACGTAAGTTGTCGTAAAAGTAGTATTACGGTCGTATGTATGTGTGATTGTATATATATTCATATATATGTATGTATATGTAAGTTTATTATATTATTTTGTATTGTATTATGTTATATGTATATTTATAACATTTCTTCCAATATTGTTACCGCCATTACACCTCTACCAGACGCAAATCTAATCACTTCTCTCCATCCTAAGGTTGGCTGGAAGAGATCGCTGTTTAGCGATAAGGCCGCCCATTGTTACCTCTTTGTCTTGTTTATTGTATTATATATATTTTTTTATCATTTTGTACATAATTGTATATGTAATTGTATTTTCTGTGAGAGGAACAATAAAGAGTTTCATTCATTCATTCATTCATTAAGTGTAATTGTGTTTACCTTTAATTTTAGAGCAATGCTTCTCTATAGCGGCGACGCAGGATGCACAAGTCATGCCGCGCACCTCCAGTGTACACCTCGACAACTCCACTTCCGGCTTACAAGTACCCTGCAAACGGAGAAATACCATATCCCATCAAAAACATAAATGTGAAATGATAGCCGAGTTTAATATTATGATATATGGCTTGATTGTTGACTTCTACGACAAAAGAGATGAGATCTAAATGGGTGCCAAGTTCAATGGTCTGTCCTGAAATGTATTTATAACAATATAAAATATCATTTCTTCTTATAACTTAGGATAATATACTGTAGCCTAAGGTCTAACTTGGCCAGTTCTCATATACCAATTATTACTTTCGATTGCTAGTTACTATTAATATTAAAATAGGAACCGACAAGTAACATGTTTAGAACTTGCGAAGGCTACAGTATATTTCGTATATGAAATTTTTTCGTAAAGAATTTTTTCCTTTATATTCACCTAATTACCTATCTGCATACCAAATTTGAACTTCCTAGGTCATCTGGAAGTGGGTTATAATTTTGATCTATAGTTGATCAGTGATAAAAATGTCGATTTTTGGACATTAATATCTAAATAACCGTTTGAGATATGTTTATGAAATTTGGAACACATATTTATCTCGCAAGTCTCAATATATGAACCAAATTTGACAGGTTTGTGTGAAAGAGTTTTTGAGTTATGAGGGGGTCAAAAGTGGCTCCAAATGGTTCGTGTAAATATACACACGGTGCTGCTTGCCAGTTTATTTGAAACTCGGCTTGACACGCTGCCGCGTGTCTAGATAGATATAATAATAAGAGGAGAAAAATGCAACCAAACGGTATTAGCATCAACATCCATACAAGCGCTCAGTAATTATGTATAAGCACGTCGAAGGCACTTATTTGATGTTCCTTTGAGAATAGAATAGAATAGAGTAGAATAGAAAATCATTTATTCAAATAATCTTAATTTAAGCACTTTTGAATAGTCAACATTTTTTTAAATCTACCTCTTATTCGGAAAGCTGTCTCATCAAGAAGAATGAATTTGATTTTTTTAATAATAATAATATAATATATCTCAGGACAAAGAAACTCAGCTCGTATTCTTTTCAACTAAATGTTGTACATGTTTACAATAATACATAGTCATTTTTAAATTCAAATTTGGGAGAATTTAATTAATATAATTAATGATCATTATCAAAATAATAAAACAATTATTCTTACTAATATTATAAATGCGGAAGTAACTCTGTCTGTCCGTCTCGCTTTCACGCCAAAACTACTGGACCGATTAAAATGAAATTTGGTACATAGATAGTCCAGATGCGGAGGAAAGCCATAGGCTACTTTTTAATGCGAAAAGGGAATTGAAAGGTGTTGAAAGAGGAGATGAAAGTTTGTATGGAAGTATCGTTATTTTTCTAGAAGCTTAAAACTTATTTTGTTGGCTGTCGATTAAATATAAATAAATATGACATTCAGAGATTGTAAAAATTATACTCTTAAGGGAGTAAAATAAAATAGGGGATGAAAGTTTGTATAGAAAATCGTCATTTATGAAGCTAGAACGATGACTCTGTTTTCGATGGTTATTTTGAGTTAGATTATAGAATATTTATACATTATTTGACATGAATCGAAATTAAATGATATTTATTCGGTAGATATTAATAAAACTAAACACACATTAAACAAAAATGAATTTGGTCAACTATAACACGCGGACGAAGTCGCAAGCACAGCTAGTATCTTATATTGATCACATTGAGTGCTTGTTTTCTCGCGCGTTCCTGATCGTGCTTGAAATAATGGTTAGTGTAAAACTTACATTAGCTTGTGTCCTGCTTTTGACGGCCGATGGTAGCTTTTTACCATCTCCCGATGCCGCCGTTGGCGAGGGATCGGTTACAGTTTGTGACTTACTCTCTGAAAATATAATACAATAAAATATAATATTATTTTAGCAGGCAAATGTCTATATATATATAACTCAAAGGTGACTGACACAATGATCTATCAACGCACAGCCCAAACCACTGGACGGATCCGGCTGAAATTTGGCATGCAGGTAGATGTTATCACGTAGGCATCCGCTAAGAAAGGATTTTGATTAATTCTACCCCCAAGGGATAAAGTAGGGGATGAAACTTTGTTAATTTTAAACCGATCGAGCTGAGACTTTGCATGCATAAAGCTACTATGACGTAGACATCCCCTAAGAAAGGATTTTGATAAATTCCACCCCTAAGAGGATAAATTAACGCGAGCGAAGCCGCGGGCAAAAGCCAGTTGCAATATAAAATAAAGTACTAATATCGCTATTAAATTTATCAAATATATTATTAAATAATAGAGGTTGATGGTAGAAGGGTGAAAGATTAGGGTTATACGTATTTTTAAAACATTCGGTAAGTTCGATAACTAAGTAAAAAAATTTTAACTACAAATATATATTTTTTTTTGTGTGGACGACCCTTATCGCTTATTAATAATAGTAGTAGGGGTAGTAAAATAGTTCAGTCAACTATTTTAATAACAGATAAATTATATATTTTGATTAAACAAACAGAACTGTCGACATTCTAAAATTGATGAAATGAAATGAAATAATTTATTTGCGAAATATTGGTACAGTATTATAATTAATATAATGTTACATGAAATTGATTGATCAGCAATATTTACCATACAGGCATGCAAATTACGTGAAGGCGCTTGTGCCACTCAAATATTCTTGGACACTGTAAAGATTACCAAGTGACAGACAATTCTTTAGTTTGCGTTTGAATAACGTATGAGACCCCAGTTCTTTAATCTCTCTTGGAAGATTGTTGTACACTTTGATTGGCATACAGTATACATTTCTCTTATGTAAGTCTAATCGACACATTGGTGTGTATAGTATAATGTTAGTATAATGATACGTACAGTTAATTATCAGGGAGTGAAACTGGAAGTATTTAAAAAAATAGGAGATTCCTAAAGTAATTCACCCCGTCGAAACTGGGGCGCGTCGCTAATGTGCGAATAAATATTTCCCTCACCACTATACTGGTGTCCGTCGACAGATACGATAGTGACGTCGAACCCGGCGCCGGAGATTGTATCTGCGACCTGCTGCGGCGTGACCGCGCCTCTCGTGCACCGAACACGCGCGGCTCCCGCCGCTAAGTCCACCGCTGGGTGTATTACGCCAGGCAAGTTTTTTAGTAATCCTGGGGGTAATTAAACATCATTTTTTTAATATAATTTCAGGACAATTCACACAAAGCCATCTAGACCCAAGTTAAGCTAGCTAAAGCTTCCAATGGTTGTGAGTTCGATTCCTCGGAACGGTACAAACATTTGTATTCATGAGTATGACTGTTTTTATTGGTCTGGCTATTTTATGTACTAGTTCTACCGCGTGGAATCTAACTTTATTTTTCTAAAATAATAGTAGCCTAAGTTACCCCTTATTAAATCAGCTATCTGCCAATAATAGTCCCGTATAAATCGGTCCAGCCATTCAGAGATTAGCCGGAACAAACAGACAGACAAAAATTGTAAAAAATATTATTTTGGTGTATGTACCGTATTTACATTAACGTAGTAAAAAACGGTTATTTCAATATTAGAAACAGACACTCCAATTGTGTATTTTATTTATTTATTTATTAGAAAAGCTTACAATCTAATACATTAATCAAAAGTACATATCTAGAGAAAGCCAATAACAGGTTTTCAGTGAATTAGCAAAAGAAAATAAAACAGAACGTGGCAAACAGAATAATGATTAATTTAAAAGTACAAATCAAATATTGTAAATTTCACAATATATAAAACTAATAGAACAATTTAAGAATAATTTTAAGAATTACAAATATTATAATAGTATCTGAATTATAGATGTATTTAAAAAAAAAGTTGTCTAGTACCCATAACACAAGCTCTGCTTAATATGGAACTAGATGGCGCTGTGTGCATTGTCTAAGGATATTACTATTATTACTACACAAAACTGACCTTCAATAGAATTGACGCACGACTGGCACGTCATGCCGACCACTGATAGGAACACTTCCGTCTGGTCGGATGCGATGACACCCGTCATGTCTATGAGGAGGTCGGTGGGTATCTCTGTCGGTAGCAGTTGTCTACAAAAGTATATTTTATGTATATTACTATTATTTGTCTAATTCTAATCATTACATATTATAAAACAAAGCCGCTGTCGCTGTCTGTCCGTTCATATGTATGCTTAAATCTTTAAAACTACGCAACGGATTTTGAAGCGGTTTTTTAATAGATAGAGCGATTCGAGATGAAGTTTTGTATGTAAAATACATGTACATCCGGGCGAAGCTGGGGCGAGTAGATAGTAATATAAATGAAAGAAAGAAAAGAAAGAAAAACATTTATTGTCAACCATTATTACATATACACATTTGACAATTGTACACTTTACACACATATATATATATATATACACATATGCACACACACACTCATATACATATATACATACATACATACACACTTAGAACAATTACAATAATTCATCTTATATTATTTCTAAATATGGTTGGCAACATGGCTGACACTCAGCATATGCAAAGCAAAAGTTTGTGTATATAGATGGATGTTTGTTACTCTTTCACGCAAAAACTACTGAACGGATTTTGATGAAACTTTACAGTAATATAGTTTATACATCAGAATAACATATAGATTATAAAATTCACGCGAGTGAAACCGCGAGCACAGGTAGTAGGAAATAATAATGTTTGGTGTAAAAACAAGCAATTCACAATACATGTCCATCTTTATCTATAACTGTTAGGGAAACTACTCTGCTACCAAAATGTTAGGGAAAGTACTTTATATATATATAGGGAAAAATTAGTGTGAGCGTTAGTCACGTACCTGTATGGTTCTGCGGATTTCCTGGGCTTCAGGGTCTCGAAGATATCTTCGCTAGCTTTCCAGTTTCACAGTAGGTTTCACAGTTTCACAGTTCTAATTTATTTTAATTCACAACACAATGCGCGCACGCGTCAAGGCCGCTGTACAGTCGGTTCAGTACTGTAGGTAAGGGAGGGGAACAGAAACCGCGGGAACACAAACTAACGGACTAATATAACAATCTGTGCCTACGATGGTACAGGGTAGATTTTGAACAATAACAAAAGGATAATTCAGACCTGGTCTCTTCCTCGTGGTCTTTCGCTGACTCGCCCGGGACCTCGAACCCCATATCTTCTATACGAGACCTGATGGCCTCCACGGAGCACACCCGCGGGTCATATTTGAAGTACCCGGCCTTCTCTGCCAACTCAACCTGCAATATATACAAATATAATTCAGTATTAATTTGCATACTTTTCCGAAACGGCCTAACCGATTTTGATGAAATATTATATGTATCCTCAGTGGGCCCGAGAATAGGGTGTCATTTATTTTTTACACTTTTTAAGTGAAAACACCAAAAATATTTTTATTTTTTTTAACAAATCTTTTTATTACTAGTTAAAAAAAAAACAGTAATGTCATAATTAGACTAGCATGACTGTTAACTCACATGGGGTGGTCCGAGGATACGGGATAGGGACGAGGGAGTCTATAGGCCCTCAATCTATTGCGGGGCCTGGGCACGTGCCCAGTGGAAAAGACGGGCATGATTCAACGTCACTCGCCAGGCCACCGCCCTCGACCTCGCCCTATCACGAATGACACGGTTGTCCGGTTGTATGTTTTACCAGAAGTCTAAAACACTTACCTTCACGTGATTGACACCCGGCACTTCAATGATGGTACCTTCGATGCCCTTCACGCAGGACTGGCAGGTCATGCCATTTATTGGCACTCGCACCGCCACTAACTCCTGGCTGGACTCTCTGTGGACAAACAAACATATATTTGATATATATGTCGATGACATAATCATCATCATCATCGTCTGCTTCTTCCTTATCCCATTTATTTGGGGTCGGCGTAATATACAGTAAATAAATGATTTTTTCTAAAATAAAAGTAGCCTATAATATTTCTTATTATATTATCTATTAAAAGCTTACGTAACAATAACAAACTGATTTTACCTAAATGTCGTTTGGCTAAAGTTAGTAATTCGTTTTATGGCAATTGCGTAAGGTTTTACAATAAAATACCAGAGTCTGTTATAAATCTGCCAGAAAAAAGATTTAAATGTCAAATAAAACAGTTCCTTTACAAAAAAGCTTACTATGAAATTGAAGAATTCGTTAACGATAATAATGTTTTTATAGAAAAACTTTAAATCTATAGCACTGACAATATTATCTGATTACATTAATAATGAGTGCGTAGCGACTTCTATGTTGATTATCGCATGCCTCTTACTTGTTATACTGTAATTATTTATATAAAAAAAAACATATATTAAAAAGAGCAACACACAAGTTTCTTGCTCATTCTTCTTGTGATGAATCTGCATTCCGAATGAGTGGTAGAATCAAAATATGACTATTCAAAAGTGCTTGTAATGAGTTTATTTGAATAAAGATTATTTCTATTTCTATTTCTATTTCTACCTGCCAAAAAAAAAACCCGACAAAATCGGTCCAACCATTTGAGAGACAAGCCGGAACAAACAGACAGGGAGACAAAAGACAAAAAATGTAAAAAGTGGTTATTTCATATATGTACCGTATTTATATTCATATGCATGTAGTAAAAAAACGATTATTTCAATATTACAAACAGACACTCCAATTTTATTTATATGTATAGATCACAGACAATGGGTCATTGATAGTTTTCTCTTTATTTTGTGTTTTTGTCTGTACGTATATTTATTTTTGTTGCTTCATTTGTTTCATTAGTTAGTAGAGTCATGACCTCGCGTTTTCGCCACATATGTTGCAAAACATGTATTGTTTGCAACATTTCTATACCTTGGTGGTCTGGTGGTAGATTCAGAATGCCGTCACACTTTCCCATGACCATAGCTTCGATCCTGGACCAATACAAATAATCGTATTCATGGATGCATACATAACGCATTGGTTGACGACCTCGGTGCTCTAGCGGTCTAGCGCACCGCTTTACGTCCCATGGTCGCGGGTTCGATTCCTCGCACGGCGCAAACATTTGTATTCATGAGTATGATTGTTTGTATCGGTCTGGGTATTTTCTATGTATAATATGTATGTGTTTACGAAAAAAAATATTATCTATGTATTTGTATCAGTTATCTAGTGCCCATAACACAAGCTTTAGCTAGCTTAACTTGGGTCTAGATGGCGCTGTGTGAATTGTCCTGAGATTATTATTACTATTATTAGTCCCAATATATTATTTCCACAGTCATACAGTCGATCTGTCTGTTACCTTTTCATTATGAAAATAAATAGGTACATTGTACTATGAAAAATGATGTAGATATCTTTTAGATTAAAAAAAAAACAGGAGTCGCGAGTATCGATTGCATCTATACATATAAATAAAATTGGGGTGTCTGTTTGTAATATTGAAATAACAGTTTTTTACTACATGCATATGAATATAAATACGATACGTACACCAAAAGACCACTTTTTACAATATTTGTCTGTCGGTCTGTTTGTTCCGGCTAATCTCTGAAATGGCCGGACGGATTTTGACGGGACTTTTATTGGCAGGTAGCTGATGTAATAACGAGTAACTTAGGCTGCTTTTATTTTAGAAAAATAAGTTAAATTCCACGCGGACGAAGTCGCGGGTACAGTTTCTAATATATAAAATTCTCGTGTCGGGTTATTTGGAATAAATTTCTACAAAACGGCTTGACCGATTTTTATGACTTTATTTATAAATAAAGTAAATGTAACTATACATATAATGTATAGTTACATACATATAATGTATAGATGTACAGATATATATGTAGTGCAACGCTGTAATATGGGATCCCTATGAAATAAAATATAGACTAATGTTGGAAAAAATTCAAAATAAGTTTATTAGGTATATATATATGAGGCAATATGGAGTATATCCCTTGTATCCTTTGATGTATCCCACTCTGTTCGTATTGGGCATGGTGGGATATAATGAATTACGTGTACGCAGGGAATTGGCTATTGTCTTATACATATTTAAAGTGTCTCGGGGTCAAATCACCAATTCTCTGGTTCTTGGTTTGATAAGTTTTAGGGTACCAGATAATTACCTGGGGCGGCGACGAAGGCCCCAGTTATTAGCGGTACCTCGCGGCAGAACTAATTTATTAAACAAGGCATCCATAACACTCGCACTGGCCACTCTCAATAAAATAGCAGAAACAACGGATTTGTTTGTGTGTAGTCTGTGTGAATTCACAAAAACAACATTGTATGTCATATGTTATGTTAACGAATATGTATAATATAGAATTAGATACACTATTGTATTGGGCTTAGGCCTGTAATAATAGTTGTGTAAGTAAATAAATAAATAAATGTATAGATAATAACAATTGCAGAATCATATTTAGTGGCAGAATCAATTTAAGACATAAAACATATGTTGTCGCAGATATGTCCCCGTACACAAAAGTGAACGGTAATTTTGTAGTGGTAACTGCACGACAAGCGACCACCAACTACCTACCACACGAGATATGGCCTACATTAATTTGTAGCCGTCATAATTTATCTGTCTGTCCATTACAATTCTAAACCGGTTCCAACCAAGACTGCGTTTACTAACTCCTACATTTATTAACCGTACTGTTACCTCTTTCTTCCATATAATGGGAAGAAAGAATAACGGAAGTTTGGGAAGGGGGGGGGGGGAGTGCGTTGTGATAGATGATAATGGATCTTTTTGTCCATTACAATTCTAAACCGTACATTTATTAACTGTACTGTTACCGCTTTCTTCCATATAATGGGAAGAAAGAATAACAGAAGTTTGGTGGGGGGAGGGGGGGGGGGAGGGGCGGGAGTGCGTTGTGATAGATGATAATGGATCTATCTGTCCATTACAATTCTAAACCGGTTCCAACTGACCAAGACAGCGCTTACTAACTCCTACATTTATTAACTGTACTGTTACCTCTTTCTTCCATATAATGAGAAGAAAGAGTAAAATAAAGAAATGGGAGTATGGGGTGGGGTGGACTCCATATAATGGGAAGAAAGGATAACGGAAGTTGGGGGGCGGGAGTGCGTTGTGATAGATGATAATGGAATGGTACACCTGCCTGCGCTAACGGTATACGCTGGCAGGGCACCAGTGGAGGATGATAAGAAGCATGACGTCAGATCAGATACGCAGGTCATATCGTAGCTTACCAGTAATTTATCAGAATGATTTATGGAAGAAACCGCGTGGAGGTCAACCTGACATGGTACCTTGTTACTAACAATCCTATTTCTCCAAGAGAGTGCATTGTGCATGATGAATATATTTATGTATTATATGATATGTATGTATTATATGAGATGGATGGACTGTGTGAAAGATGATATGGTGAGAAAGGGAGTAAATAACGGAATGACTGCGAACAGAGATGAATGGAAGAGAAAAACATATTAGGCCGACCCCAAATAAATGGGATAAGGAAGAAGCAGATGATGATGATGATGATATATGATATGTATGTTTATTCCTATATTTTTGTATTACTATTAATATTTATGTATTTTACTTTTGTTTTAGATTATACAATTTGTTATTTGAATTTTATTTAGTATCTATCCTTTGACATTTTTTTTTTGTTTGCACCAATTATTACCCTCTCAGTACCACATATCCCACTGTTTTAGGTTGACTGGAAGAGATCTCTTCTAAGGATAAGTCCACCTTTGCTCACATTGTCTCTAAATTATAATATCTTTTTATTATCTGTGCAATAAAGAAAGAATATATTGTTTTTTTAATGGATGATAATGGAATGGTGCACCCGCCTGCGCTAACGGTATACACTGGCGGGGCACCAGTGGAGGATGATAAGATGAGCATGAGGTCAGGTCAGTTAGACCAATGTTCACCAGGAATTTATCACGATGGTTTTCAGGGTAAACCGCGTGAAGGTCAATCGGACATGGTACATTGCCAGCTATTGGGTTATAAGCTCACGTTACTAACAATTCTATTCTCCCCAAGAGAGTTATTATTAATGGGGAATTAATGGACCGCGTGGAGGTCGACCTGGCCTTTGGTCGACCTCCACGCGGTCTTTTTTTTTATGGATGATAATGGAATGGTGCACCCGCCTGCGCTAACGGTGTACGCTGGCGGGCCACCAGTGGAGGATGATAAGCTGAGCATGAGGTCAGGTCAATTAGCCCATCGTGACAAATTCATCAAGAATTTAACACGATGGTTTCCAGGGGGAACCGCGTGGAGGTCAACCTGACATGGTACATTGCTAGCAATGAGATCATAGTCCACATTACTAACAATCCCCTTTCCCCCCACCTCCACGCGGTCAATAAAGAATGAATAAAGATACAAATTAAATTAAAGAAAGATACCACAATGGTTAATTCCTAATGAATCCTTCACGACGGGCAAACTGACAATCCTCATATTATCATGTTTCACTAGAAAACAAGCAGACCAATACATACAAACATTCATTAATACAAATATTTATATCAAGCGAGAATCGAATTCGTAACCATTGGTAAGTTGTATATCATAAATTTTACATATATTTCCGGTGTGAGTCGTACAACGAAAATAATTTAAAAATGGAAAGTTAAATTGAACCTCTTTTCTTACAAGTCGGTTAAAACGACCAACCGGACAATTATGGAAATAAGAGTGGCCTTTTGCAACCATATAATAGCGACGGTAAATTCTTATCAGCAGTAATTTCACGCTGTTTAGTACATAAGGGGCAGATTGTATTGTTTTACGTCCATTTACGCTTTATGTACGGTCCTCA